GAAACAGTGCTCAGATTTTCTGTGCGATTAATTCCCGAATAATTAATTATCAAAACCAAAATGGTCATTTTTATTTTTTGAACGACGAAAGTTTAGCGACAAATCATCGTACGAAGCTCTTGAATGGCTCAATTTAAAGAGGATGAACCAAACCAATAGAGCTGACAGGTGGGATTGTCAAAAAGAAATATAATTAGAGCCCATGGACCATTTGAAAGTGAAGTAAAAATGTTGAAAATTCCTTTACCGCTGGATATTTCGTATGATTTCTTAAACGTGATAAACAATAAACATTTAGGATCTTTTTATCCTTTAATTTTTGTAATTATTATGTTATGTTAATATTTAACTAATTTAATAAAATGCACATATTTAACCAAATAAGCTATGCGGGATATTTCCGTGCAACGAAATATCGGTTTATTAGCGAGCGTGCCGTTGGAATTTGATTAATATTTTCCTACGTTTGAAATTGCTTCGCCCGATCGCCACCTAAATTCCAAAGATTATTGGGTTGCATAACATCCACTTGAGAAATTGTTAAACTGTTTTGCCTTACGCCGACGATGTGTATGAAATTAACTTTTGATCTTTCAGTCGATTATTACTGACTAGCAGGTGAAATCAGGTTGTCGAAGGAAAAAACGACATAAATCCAAACGCGATGGACAAATAATGGATTATAATATCCAAGAACCTTTCCAAGTTGCAGCCGTGTTCAAAAATGCCGTCGAAACATGGAAATATCGTTTTGAAATTTTGAATACATTGCTAAATTCTTATAAAATCACTTTATATAACTGTTTTAGGTGTCAAGATGTCCCATATCTAATAAAGTAGTAATTTAAGTGACAAAAGTCCGTGATATGTGATGTTTACAATACATTATTTTAAATTTATAATATAGAAAATAATCCGGTTAGCGGTGGGGCGGTTCGAAGGCCAACACAGGAAAACCGTGCTACAAAAATAACGTTATTTCATCCATAGATCGACTGTCGTCGTAATATAGCAGTACCGAGACTAATTAACGTTCGAAAAAAATATTGTTTGAAGAGCAAACGGTTATTTTCGCGTTAAACCAACATGTTGAACAGGAACAAACTCGGAACAGCTTAGATTAGTTGGTGCCTAGGGTATGACCGTTTGAGATGCACTTGTTTAATTAATAACTTACAAAGAAGCATTATAAAAGTATTTTTAAAACAAACTTGAGTTTACACGCAAATTACTGTGTGTTAAAAGAGGAACTGCAAAAAAATTTCGAAACAATACGCTTTCAACATCAATGTCGTGACCGACGTTGCGATTTCACGATTCGAACAAACTAAATTTACAAAACAAACCATTTTTAACCGATGAACTGCGGGTTAATTAGGCACTGCGGGCTTTGTAACGGTTTCGATGGAACTAGGAATATATGTTAGCTAATAGTCACGGCAAAGACACGCCGTTTTAAAAACGTATAATTATAAAGCGCGATAAACCTAACCTGTTTATTGGCGTGCAGTCGAAATTTACGGGGGAGTTTACCAGCCATCGTCCAATAAAAACCGCGAGTTACTAGAAAATATCCCGAGATTGCCGATAAACAGGAAATTCGCTTGTTCTTTTTATATGCACTCAGCATTGAACACCTCATCGCGTTATTGTATATATAGCTCTGCAGTCTAATAATATAAACATGAGTAACAAAACATGATTATTTGTCTAAACGGACGCGCTAAAATGGGCTCTTACTAAAAGCCGGACCGTAAATAAACTCACGGCTCCCAAAATACAAACACACACCACTTCCGGAAGAATTTTCTCAGCACCGCGCGAAAATCCTTAATCATCGAAAAAATAAACACAAAGGAAAGTTAGATTTATATATAATAAGGATTCCAACGACGTTTCAGCTCTGTGGGATTTCTGAGATTGAACTTTGTATTGCTATCGATCAATCAAAGCTATTTCGAAACACAAACGAATCTTAAGTTGTCCTAGTACTTATCTTCTATACAGAAAATAATGGGATAAGACGTTGTTTCCCTCAGATAATCTTATTTAAATTAGATACTCCACATTTATCTGTTTTTAATAAATACAACACGCTTTGTCTACGCAGATCCAACGTCCCTAACGATGATACAAAGAGATGGCTCGAATTCGATAAGATTTTTCCAGTTCTACAATATAATATTTATACTGAGCACCCGGCGACCAGAAACGGACCTCAACAGAAAAGTGGTGGATTTCATTACGAAACTGCGACAGATTAACATAAACATTATCGCGTTTTATCTAATCTCATTAACGAAACGGCAGCAAACATGCGGCTATCTAGAAGTATTTAGATTCAAACTCCGTTGCAAAGTTTCTCAACACTCTATTTGGTATTCCGTGCATTTTACAACTTTCTTTATTGTCGCCGTTTTACTAAAATACGCGTTAGGAAATTGTTTAGTAACAAGGAACGGTTTAGCAATTAAATGTAAATATAATGACCGAAAGTAGATCGCGTTTATTGTAAACAAATCACTTGTATTACCTCTTGTATCTGCTAGCCTAGCACAGGCACACATAACCTAAAAAATAACGATATGACAGAAACAAACGACGCACTAGCACATGCAGGTACTTTCATGTACGTACTTATTACCTACCACAAGTTTAAGGAATAAAATGAATCAGTTACGATCTCTTTAAAACTGCGTCAGGGGTGATCTCGTATCATTGCATTATAGATGGCACCAGTTCCGCCTCGCTTGTTTTAGTATACCGGTAAGGGGTAAGGCATTTTTATCGGGTTTAACGATCAGATCATGAACAAAGACAAATTATCATGGTCCAATCCAAAAACTGCAATGCCCGGCGGTGTTAAGCCCGTCTAATTTTTTTTAAGGGGGTTCTTCAACAAAAAAACAAGAATCCCCGTCTAATTCAAATTAAACACAAATTTCGCGTTTCGCGGCAATGGTACCCGTTTCCTAGATGGGGTGACTTATCTCAAATTGGGTTGGGGCTGCAACTGCATTTGAATATTTTTTTTTGCAAATTTTAGGGTTGTTCTAAACATTAAATTTGTTTGGTTGATAATTTTAAATGTTATTTATAAAAGGCTAGCAGTGATCTGGGAAAATAGAGAAGTGCGACCAAATTCCAAAACTTTGTTAAAAAAATGTGGCAGTAATCGAAAATCTGAACTGAAGAGCGTACTGGTGTAATTAAAATATCACTTTACTTACATGTCATCACCGTCGATAGTTTTAGCGGTTATACCTTGTTACTTTTTTACTAAATAAACAATCAAAATTCCAACGCATATAAGTCATCCAATTCTTAACCAACAACTGGTATACACCTTCTTTATTTTATTTGCATTCACTTAGGAGTATCGCCGGACACGGGGCGCCTGAAATATCTTGACAAGCGGTACAGGGTGTCCAAACGAAAATTACCAAATAAGTACAATTATTTTCGAGGTGCATTTCCTTAAATTTAAAAAAACGACCTTGACCTATACAAGAAAAGTTATCAGTAATAATTGTAGGTAGTATTTACGAGGAATTGTAGAGGCTGAGGGATAGTGCATAAGATTTCACGCCTGCCTACGAGACGATTATTTTGTTGCACGAAAACGTGTTTTATCGATTTTTATATCTTTAAGTGATTCGAAAAAAAAAATCCATTAAATCTCAAATCTCTTACAATGATTGATCGATTATTGCTTCTCTTGACAAGTTAAGGTAATAACAATTGTTAAAGAATCAATACTTTTTATCTGGTTATCAACATTCAACATGCCCTATTCTCTCCTAATATCTAAAAATAAATATTTAAAAACGTACTTGTACTCTGAAAAGTTATCACCTAATAAACAATGTCTGCGCATAATACTTGACTTTGTTTAAAGAAACAACGGTGTTATGTTTAAAGTGATTAGTACCTAGATATGTTGTAAATTATTTTAATAACACGAGACATACTTCGCTCTTAGAGAATACCTAGAGTTCAACGTTCCAATTCTTACCTTTTAAATATCAACAGCAATTCGTATTTTGCACAACGGATATCTATTTTATAGCCCGGTCTTCTATAGAATTCTCTTTCAATGCCTCTTTAATGTGATATTTGCTGATATAGGATACCTAATAGATGCAAAACAGAGTTTACTTTTCGTACATCATTATCCAGTAGTACTAAAACTACAGTTATATGTCGTTAACATATATTCCTGAAGGCTACACATCGCAGCGACCACTAATACCTCGATATAGGGTATTATCGTCCTTAAAGGAAAAAAATTTATATGAATATAGGATTAAATCTCACGAGAAATGAATTGGTCACATGCCACAGATTTTTGTAGTGTTGACAAGAACCAGGGCCCCACTTCATAGCCATTGTAGCTCTCTTAGATCGCCTTAAATAATGGAATGTCTATTTGAATGAACTAAAATTCCAATGGGTTTGCAAGCAGGCACACAAAAGGTCAATGCAAAGCTGATTGTGTTATTTTAATGCTCAGCACCATTAATTTGGTGTCACATTTTGGAGCTACATCATCTGATAATTGTTTAAATGGGGAATATGAAATTTTTGAAGATTTTTTTAAATTTTAGCGTTATTCTATCACATGTAAGTTACGATTTGTAAAAATCTAGGTGGGGTATGGTAAATTGACCCCAAACATTCCATTTACGTAACGTTGATTCAACGTAAAATTATTGCAAAACTAGATAATTTCCTGTATTTTGTATTTCTAACATTCCTTTAAAGTAAAAAATGTAATTTGACCTTGTGAGATTCACGTACTTCGTCATATAAATAAATAGGTGCAAGAGTAAAATAGCCGCATTTGAGAAGGTAATTAAAATTAGATAATTGCTTTTGTTATCGAGTGTGAACTTATTAAAGTCTTCAACGAGGAGCGTGCCTAGTTATCCGGTAGCTTAGGTGTCAAACACTGACAGGCATACCGTAGCTGCGAGAGAAAATAAACATAATTTACATACCTTTACAGGTAGAACTCGACTAGGAAAATCCCTTTAGCATGTTTACACTTTCACAGATCTGATCTTAGATTCCCTCGGATGTTCCCTCACTCGTCTGCCCAATTCGGCATTAGGCACTTGGGTAGGCGTTTGTGGTATTGTTTGATGAACGTACGAAATTTCTACACCGAGCTCATATCGTAGTATCGGCCACTGAACGAACTGATACTTGTAGACCCGCTACTCGAACTCAACTCAAATATCCAACTAGTTCAACTCGTTCAACGTGAGCAACGGACCGCACGGCGCAAGCGCCCCCATCATTAAAAACCTCTACCTTCGTCGGCTTACTAGCTACGCCAATTTTACATTTCACCTATACTCGCATTCGAAAGATACGCTATGATACAAATCCAAAAATCCCACAAATTGCCATGTATGTGGATAAATCACCTTTGGAAACAGGTACTACTCCTAACTTCAATGTGAAAATCAATAATTAAATATAAAAATCATGTGGAAGAATTTGGAACAAATCTTTCGTGTCCAGGGAATTAAAGAGGAAATATCGTTACATGAAACCCTAATACCCCTCTGTGCCTTCTTGTATTTGTTAGAAAATCGGCAGCGTCAGTACTGGTGCGTTAGGAGGCCGCAGGAAAATTTAAACTCCAAAATTTATTCCTAAAATTCGTTTTTGTTACACTTTAATGATTTTAAGATGTGTAAGCACCCGTATTACACCTTAAATTTAATTTTGCACAAAAACAGTAGGCAATTCTATTCCTGAATGTACAGGGTGTCCGGAAACGAATGGACCGTACGTGGGCCTTCAAAAAATTCTTTTTATCTCATTTTAACTAATACTAACATGACTTTTTAAGGAAGCAAAATTGTTTTAAGGTAACTTGCTCGAAATTGGTTTGTTTTAAACATAAACATAAAACACACCACATAAATGAGACAACCCCCAAATCCAAAAGCCAAAGGCTTGTGCGGAAAGGGGCTACACTTGAAAAAACGCATCATCCAAGTTAATTCATTATCTACGAATGAAATAAAATATTATTCTCTTAACTACTTTGTGCAACGTGTCTCGGACACGTGTTTATAAAGGGAGAAATAAAGTCAATTTAAAATATGCTTTACATTTTTGGTTTTAAAATATGGCTAAGAATTAGTGAAAGAACATTATTTTCTCGGGCTACTGGCTTCGCTGCTATTAGGCATTTTTGTTGCCATTTCAGCTCTTTAAGCGAGGGGAGAAGTGGAAGGACGCCACTATGAAAAAGGCACCGTCTACAGTGCAGCTAGGAGTCTTTGACCCGCCCTTGTTGGTCTCGGGCTACGCTCTGTGGGGGCGGACCAGCGATTAGAACATCTAGTTCCGCCCTGATGTTCATTTCGGTTCTTATTGCTGATCAACACCATAGAAACATTGTTATATTAAAATGTGATACAAAAAATTATTGCTCGTTTTACTTAAAGTTAAGGAAATATTAAGTGCAATCATCTAATACAGTAAATAATTTAATACTAAAAAAAGGGTCTGTTGAACAAATCGTACGAGCTAATACGACTCTTGTTTACAAACTTTAAAAGTACACTGCGAAAAACATAACAGCTTGGTATAACTGGTTGCATACGTGGTTTATTTAATTACGAGAATTTTTTTGAAATTCCGAAAGGTTTATCCATAATCTTTCTATCGCTACAGCAGGCTGGTTTGTTTCTAAGCCGTGGCAGCATGTTAAGCCGGTATTTTTTATCATCGCCGATAGAACGGGGATTTAGTTGTTTATTGATACATTTAGTGGTTTCAGAAGTCGACAAAGGATGTCAGGGTTAGGTTTGGCAATACATCAATGAAAGCGACTTTCCAGACTAGAGGTGGGTGCGCACAGTGCGCAAGCACCGTCCGCAGCTGTTTGTAGTCTATTGTCGAGTTACGTTGCAGAATGTTTTATTTATATGTTCGTCCCGTAACAGAATAAATTTTAAGTAATGGCTTTGAAATACATATATTACCGATCAAAATCAATACCTCGCGAATTAAATGTGTGCCGTACAGTCGGCATGGCGTGAATAGAGCGGTGGTGTGTTTTATGTGTTTAATTTTTTTTTTGATTTGGGTGGTGATAGATGGAGGACAACAACGGGGTTAAACCGCGCGCTCGTTCGAATTCCGCCAGAGTGCTGGTGTTCGACGAACCGAAGTCGGGTTCTGGGATAGAACAAAGGCCAAGATGCCCGCCAGTACCTGCTCCTGTTGCAGAGTCCTCGAACATCCAAAAACATAGCCAGCCAGGTTACAAACTTTCTTTGTTTACACAATTTTGCTCACATTTGCGGTTATGAGTCACCGATTTTATTGGTATGGTTAAGTTCACTCGATATCTCTCACCTACAATGTATTTCCTCGTTCAGTTCTGTCATTAATTGTATCAATATCGTTACTTTTATTTGTTTTTAACAGACGCGTGTACATTAATTTTAATCCAGCTGCACATTCCTAAAGAGTTTATTCATTTCCAATTTTGTACGTTCATTACGATTGTCGCTCTTAATTTTGGTGGTGTCATATTTTAGTTTTAAGTAAACGTGTCGGAATAATACACAAAATCATTGTTTTCCCTTAAACAACTTGCCTGATAAGTCTATAATTACGTATTTTGTTTTATTCAAATGAAAATAAACAAATATTGTTCTAAAGATACCCAGTTCTGGGTAATCATATCGAATGATATGTATAGTGACGCATGGGGGTGTGCCATGGGGTTTTGACCCTCCCTCTTCTTCCCCATAGCCTTTGAACTTTGGTAATATTTTTTTTTCAATTTAACTCCCTCTATTTTTTTCTGAGTACGCCACTGGCCCTACAAGTTGTTTATTATTCAATATGTTATTTTTTTTATTGATTTCGAAGAAAACCGTTGTTTCTGTATGTAATGCACGATTATAAATACTTTATTTACTCATTTTAAATTATATGTCAATTGCCAAATCAAAATAAGTACATGTCCTAATCTAAAGATAGACGCTAAATACTGGTTACTCAAATGTTAACAGAAGGTAGTTACAATTTTTAAACTGTGATTTTAAATTTTGCAACTTTTGCAAGTTTTGGATGTAAAAATTTTTGCTTTGAAATATTGAATCAGTGTTTCCTTTTTTAGTTTTTTTACATATTTATCTAATCATGTTAATTAATTCTAAAAATATAAATTGAAAATTTTAAAATAATTTTCCATGTGAAATGTGGTTTAAAAGTATTTAGAATATCTGCCGTGCGTTTTTTTTGCTGTTTACAGTTCAGAAAAAAAGATAAAGTTATAAGAAATGCCTATTACATTATGTATTTTAAATGTAAAGTGACTAATGCTGATTTCCTATCCTATCTTTGTGGTATGGCATTTTTGTTCACATAAATAGATCTGTTTGTTTCAGTTTATTCCTGTGCATTTCGTGTTATTCTAACATTTTTTAAATATTAATAATAGCGAGTTTAATTAAATATTTTAAACAGTTTTAATCTAATTTAAGTGATTTTGTTATTAGTTTTACGGCCTAGGTACTGAAACAAATTTGATTTTACTGTCTTCCTGATTTATAAGTTCGAGGAAAAATTGGATACCGAACCGAAATTAAAAATTATACCTTGACTAATTTTCATATTTCACCTTGAATGTGTTTTATTTATATTAAAGTTCCTACTTAAACTTAAAGAATGTCGAAATAAAAATGATAAAAATAATTTACCCATGTCTCGGTGAAGTATTGTTGGCACCACATCAAAAAGTTAATGAGTGATGTAATATGTACATATTGGTTTTGAACTTAACCATGGAAATCATTTGTTTTTTTCGCTAATAGCAATTTGGCTGTCGCTAATAATTATAGGATAAATTATGCTGACTGGGTGTTATAATAATCCCATTTGCATGTATTAACAGTTCTTTAAGGAAGTAATTTTTCAATAGCAATATTTTTATTTTTATAGTACCTTTTTTATTGATAAACGTTACAAAATAGAGCAATTTGCGAGGAAATGATCGAGAGAGTTAATATTTAAATAACTTTAACCAATAAAATTGTATAACCGAATAAATGCATATTATGTGTAAGTAAATAAACGTTGAATATATATTACTGTCTTATTTCTGAATGAGTTCCTTTTCAGATCAACAAAATGCATCTTCTAATTTGGTTAAATTCAGAAATTCTGCATTAGGGAAGTCGGCCCCATCATTGTCCATTAATATGGTAAATTGAAGTTTTTTCTTAACAAGTACAATAGTTTATTTTAAAAGGTCCTAGACAAAGTGCAAGATCTATATAATATTATGTTTTGTTGGAAGATACTAACGTTTATCGATATTTAAAATTAAATTCGATAATATTTTTATTACAACACATCAATAATATATAGATTGTAAATTAAAATGTTTATGCACAATTGTATGTATATTTTCTATTCTGGTAAGTAGAAAGTAACCAATCCCTGTGACTTATATTGTCTAATTTATTTTTTAGAAAGATGCGGGTTGCGTAAGTCGCAGGAATAGCCGGCCTGCTGCAATTCATAGGTTAAGTTTTATCGCTAATACTTCTCCTGTACTCCCAAGATCTCATTCTCCTATATGTGGTAGCCCCATCGATAGCCCAAGAACCCACACAAGCTTCATAAATTTCTCATTTGCACCTATAAAAAGGTAACTTCCTATTTGGTTTTATAGGATCGTTTAGAACAATTTAACCCTAACACAACACGATAATACCTAGTCATCCATTTGGTATGTTACATACATACGTATATATGAGTAGTTAATGTGATCATTTTTGCATGTACGCCCAGAAACAAGATTCACAAGTCATGTCTCTCGTTTCCCGTTTTTATATTGATGCGTGCATACTTTTTTATATTCCTGTAGAGGTAGTATCATTTAAGCGATTTTTCTAGAATTGTTGCTGGCTATCGTGGAGATGGAAGAAGGTGGTCGGTTGCTTCCTTACCCTCATCCGGTTATGGGACTACTCCCGGTAGTTCAAATATGTCAGTAAGTATGTCTTGCGGGAACAAGAGTTCGAAATTTTATTTATTCATTTTTGTTGCAGTCCAAGTGTTCTAGTCAGGAGAGATTACACCAGTTACCGCATATTCCTACATCCGATGACATCAGAATGTTAACCCACCATTTTTCTAGTAATGAAAGTAATGCCTCATTACCAGGGGTTAGCTATGAAGAAAACCCCATTAGTAATAGATCGCCGTTGCATAGACCAAGATCAAGAAGTCTTAGGTACAAAGTGTACAGAAAATTAAAGCCGGTGTAACTGTTTTTTTTTTCTTTTAATTTGTAGTAGCCCCAGTAGGTCTCCGGTAATTGACAACGAAATTTGTATGATGAACGTCTTATATAAGGAACGTTTTCCAAAGGCCACTCAACAAATGGAAGAGAGATTAACTAACTTTATCGAAGAAAATAAAACATTCGATTTTGGGGAAGACTGTGATTACTTGCCAATTGTTCGTTTTGTTCACCATCAAGTGTTGGAGATGGCTAGAGATTGTCTACACAAGTCGCAGACCAAACTAATTACCAGTCGCTATTTTTATGAAATGTCGGAAAATTTGGAAAGGCTCTTAACAGAAGTAAGTTTTCATGTGTAGATAACAAGGTTGGCAAATATCATGATATTTATATAAATTTCAACTATCGGATATATATCTTGATATATATCCGATATATATATCAAGTCTTGATACTTATTTTTTTTTTAATTAATTAGTTTATGTGTAATATTATAGTAGCGAAATAAAATTAAGAAATTATTCAGGTAAATGTTTTTGTTCCAAATATCAAAAACAAGAACGAAAAAATAAATATAAATTCTGAAACTAATAAAAAATATTTGCGTGAATATTAAGTATTACGAAAACTAACCAACATAAACTTCATAAATATTAAAACAAATACAAACACACAGCACCTGCTCAAATGGACTAACACCTGAAGAAATATTGAAATAAAAATATTCATTCAATTTTACTTTGTTGAAAAATTCGGGGAATCACATAAATAAACACGTTCATCTACGATTAGCATATGGTTTAGCTGCCATCTGTTAACAGTTTTAGAAACTTTAAACCAGTAAGAATCATTATTTAAATTTTTATAAATATCATGATATATCAAGGAATAAATATCGTGATATATATCGGATATATATCATTGATATATATTATGCCAACCTTGGTGGACAACCCGATTTGTTTTATTAATTTTTCAATCCGCAGACAAAAGAAAAATCCGAAGATGCAGCGAATTTAGTGACGAGCTTTATAAAGAAGCTGCTGCTGATAATATCACGACCAGCTAGGTTATTGGAATGCCTAGAATTTGACCCGGAAGAATTTTACCATTTCTTAGAAGCCGCGGAAGGTCAGGTTAAAGGGGTGCAAGGCATCAAAGCGGACATCCCTCAGTACATCATCCAGAAATTGGGTTTAAATAGAGATCCCATAGCGGAACTGCAACAGGAGCTGAAGGATTGCAACTGGTCGAATAATTCTTCCAGATCCTCACTTTGCCTCTCGTCCACGCCTACCATTAAGAAATCCTTATCAAACCCAAACGAGCAAGACTTCGAAGTCGTAAAACTAGTTTCAAATGGTGCTTACGGAGCCGTTTATTTAGTTAAGCATAAACAAACACGACAACGATTCGCAATGAAGAAAATCAATAAAAACAATCTTATGCTGAGGAATCAGGTCGAACAGGTGTTCGCGGAAAGGGATATTTTGAGTTTTGCCGATAACCCGTTCGTTGTCAGTATGTACTGCAGCTTCGAAACTAAAAAGCATTTGTGCTTGGTTATGGAATATGTGGAGGGGGGCGACTGCGCTAGCTTGATTAAAAATATAGGCCCCCTTCCCGCAGACATGGCTAGATTTTATTTCGCTGAGACTGTTTTGGCTGTCGAATATTTGCACTCGTATGGAATCGTTCATAGAGATTTGAAACCTGACAAGTAAGACGTATTAATTCTAGTTAATGTTTCGTTGGTACAAAAACTTTTTTTTCCAGCCTTCTTATCACTGCCTTAGGCCATATTAAATTAACGGATTTCGGTTTGAGTAAAATGGGCCTCATGTCGTGTAAGTTCATTTATTGTACGACAAATCACGAATAATGAATTAATTTAATTTCAGTGGCCACAAACTTGTATGAGGGTTACATAGATTCCGAGTCGCGTCAGTTTTCCGACAAACAGGTGTTCGGTACCCCAGAATACATCGCCCCCGAAGTTATACTGAGACAAGGTTACGGTAAGCCGGTGGACTGGTGGTCTATGGGGATAATTCTCTATGAATTTCTCATCGGCTGTGTTCCGTTCTTTGGTGACACTCCTGAAGAATTATTCGCCCATACCGTCCAAGGTAAGTATTTTCTTTAAACGTGTCCCAAAATTGTAGGAAGTTAATTTATTTAGACGACATCGAGTGGCCGGAGAACGAGGACTGGCCCGTACAAGAAGAAGCAAAGGATCTTATAACAACGTTGTTGCAACACTCGCCGAGGGACAGATTAGGCACGGGCGGTGCTCACGAGGTTAAAGAACACGTGTACTTTTACGGCCTGGACTGGAATTCGTTGCTCCGGCAGAAAGCGGAGTTTGTTCCACAGCTCGAACACGACGAAGATACCAGTTACTTTGACAGTAAGTAAAAAAAAAAATAAGTAAAGGATTTTGTTAATCGGTTTTATGTAGGTCGTGTCGATCGGTATTCCCATGAATTAGAAGATGATACCGACGATACCGATGATTCCCCTGTTTTTGGATTATTTTCGTCTTGTTCGCCGCAGTACAGGAAGGTGTCTAAACTCAGTTCTACTAGTACAGAGGTGGAGATAGGGCTTGTTCCGAAAGCTCTTAAAATTACAGCGTCGATCAGTTCAACTTCGGATACTTCGGAAAGTGGTGGATTTAAGCCTAAACTTAAGGCTTGCAGTAGTTTACAGTTGCAAGCACTGGATAAGGATAAATCTGCACCTACGGAACACAGAAAAGTAAGGAATTTACGTTCTGCGTACAATGTACCTTTTGCTCGTGAGCATAGGACATTATAACAGCTGGATCGTTCGTCGGTTGTCTCCGCTATGACACACTGATGAGGACTAATAAGTCCGAAACAGGTCTGTGCCTGGTGGGTTAAACCGACGAACGATCCTAGCTGTTGCACTAGGTGTTGCGAGTATAATTCAATGCCGGTCAGGGCATGTAGCCCCCGGAGTAGTTGTTTCTCGCAACACTGGCAATTTAAGTAAGGAATTTACTAGCAGTTAAATGGGCCTTTAAATCGCAATTTCGGTCAACTTGCGTTATAAAGTTAGTTTGAGGTTTATAATAATAAGTGACAGTAATTTTTTTTTCAACCCCCGGTCAGGGGTGAAAAAAGATAAAATAAAGAGTTTTTTCAAGATAACTCAAAAGGGGTAAGAGCTAGAAAAAAAGTGTCTTATAAAAGATGTAGAAAAAAATTGTTTTACAATTAATGTTAAATCATAAAAATTAACGTTTAAAAAATTGAAATTGTCATAACTTTTTTATTAAAAATTAAAAAATATATTCCGCGTCAAACGGAACAAAGCTGTGTCCAAAATTCACGTTTAAAGATGTGAACGAATGAGGGCTTAAAAGATTTATTAGGAATGGCTCCTTCGAATAATTCAAAATGCCGACCTAATATGGCGTGTAGAACTCGGAGAAAATATATATTAGAAAAGAATATTTGTAAAAATTTTACATCAAGATCAATTTAATCGGATATAGCATTAAATTATATGTATTTGACGTGCTATCTGTAGTTTTTTGCGTATTTCAAATTGGCAGATTCAATATGGCCCTTTCGAAGCGCGCGTGACTCCTTTGAAAAATTCAAAATGGCGACCAAATATGACGTCTAGAACTCAGAAAAAATGTATATTAATAAAGAATATTTGTAAAAATTTTATATCAAGATCAATTTAACAGGTACTTCCTCCAATCTTTAGCAATTGTTTAGCTTGTTATGGGCGCCATATTGGATCCGCCATTTTGAGATTCGACAATCTGACTGGAAATTAAGACTACAGATTTAAAGAACCCCCTAATGAGCCTTGTTAAGTTAAAATGAATGATTCTAGAATCATTGGTATCGATTTCTTAATAATACCAGTGATTTTTTACCCCCACGAGCGCCATGTTGGATCCACCATTTTGAGATTCGGTAAATTGATTCTAGAATATTATTCATAATCCAGGAAAATTCCAAACAAGGCTTTTTGGGGTAAAATTAATCGCACTATAAGCGCCATATTGAATCCGCCAATTCGAAATACTCAAAAAACTATAGTTAACACGTCAAATACATACAGTGTGTCCCGTTTTTCAGGTTAACACCTCTGGAAATGTGAGAAGGCTGTGGACTTTCCGCAAGCCAATTTTTTTACAAATAGTATCCTCAAGGGAGGTAATATTCTACTAATCATTTTTTTTATGTAACAAAAGCCTACTGCGATTTTTTAAAAGGTCAGTTTTTTCAGAAAGTGGTATTAGGCATTTTTTTATCAAAAAGATAATATTACCAGGCTATTCAACACCCATCAAAATACCCATATACCAAATTTGAACGACAAATGTCTATTGAGTGTTTTTTTATGTGGTGCCAAACTTTGAAAAATCACAGCTAAAAATTATAATAAGCAGGTCAACGATTGACAATGAAAGTGAACAAGTACTAATCGGACAAAGAAAAAATACAGACACTATAAATTTAACACTTAATTGCGGCCATAGTAAAAATAAATGTACAAAAAATGTAGGTAATGGATAATAAATATTAAGTTGTTAAACAAAAAATTGCAAAACAATCTAAATTAAATTTTAGTTTTTTCGAACTATGGGCTTTTACAGCGGCTATGTAAATTATTTTTAAATTTAAGAAGATTGGAAAAATGTGTTCGACTAGAAGGAGGTTTGGTGGAGAAAACTAAAACTTAATTCAAATTCATGTTTTACAATTTTTTTGTTTAAGAACTTAGTATTTATAATTCATTACATTTTTTGTTAAGTTATTATTTTTATAATTAATTAATAATAATTAAGTAATTTAAAGTTTATAGTGCCTGTATTTTTTCTTTGTCCGATTGGTATTTGTTTTCACTTTCATGGCAACCTTTGACCTGCTTATTATAATTTTTAGTTGCCTGATTTTTCGAAGTTTGGTACCACATAAAAAAACACTCAATAGACATTACATCAATAAAATGAATAGTAGAATATAACCTCCTTTCAAGGTACTATTTGTAAAAAAATTGGCTTGTGGAAAGTCCACAGCCTTCTCACATTCCCAGAGGTGTTAACCTGAAAAACGGGACACACTGTATAATTTAATGCTATATCCGATTAAATTGATCTTGATATAAAATTTTTACAAATATTCTTTTCAAATATATGATTTTTCTGCTGATTTCGAGCCATCATATTAGGCCGCCATTTTGAATTTTTCGAAGGAGCCATTTCTAATAAAACTTTTGAGCCCTCATTCGTTCACATCTGCCAATGTGAATTTTGGGCGCAGCTTTGTTCCGTTTGACGTGGAACACCCCATATTCTCTGAAAAGAAAGTTTACATTTTTTAAAGTAGATTAAAAATAAAAAATTATAAAATTCATTAATTTTTCTGCGTGTTATGATTTTTAAAATTTCTGAAACTATCCCTTAACTTCTACTGCCCCCTAACTCTGTTAATTTTAGTTTTAGTACAAGAAAAAGTCAATAGACCATTTTCATGTAGAATTTTATACTCTACAACTTTAATAAGAAACTTTTTTTTTAGCTCTTACCCCTTTTGAGTTATCTTGAAAACCCTTTTATTTTCTCTTTTTTCACCCCTAACTGGGGGTTGGATAAAAAATTACTGTCAGTTATCGTTATTATATACCTCGAAGTAACTCATATCAAAAATTCGGGCAAGTTGACCAAATTGCGATTTAAAGGCCCATTAAATTGGACGATGGGAAGAGAATAGTAAATAATTACATCCGATTTTAGATTTCTTTAGATTTGTCCTTGTGCGCAATTAGTACACCGGAGTCGTCTCAGACGGACAGCGACGACGTGTCCCCACAGATTAACAGAAGAAGGAAAGCGGCTCACTCTCGCGACATCTTGCCAAAATTCTCAATTTCCGTCGAGGACGAGAACAGCAGTTTAGAAACCGGAACTTCCTCGTCCGAGAACAGGGAACATTCGCCGCTCGGCCGAATTCAAACCACAAATTTACCGGCGGTGAAGCATAAATCGAGATCTGTCGTTAAAAGCGCTTCCGCTTCAGGTTTATCTCTTATGATACCATCCGGTAAAGTATCTATTACCACTAAATCGATTAAATTCACAATATCGTTTGTTTTTTAGATGAATTCCAGACGACGTCACACGGTATCCATTCTCCTAGCGGTGGAGGGGGTTCTAGTACCGCAAGTTCACGGGATACTTCACCGTGTCGCGAATTGTCGCCCTTAGTAACTAGTCTGAAGCCTCCAATAATTATTCGGAGAGGACCAAAAGGATTTGGCTTCACTGTACATACAATTCGTGTATATTACGGTGACACCGATGTGTACACGATGCATCATCTAGTAATGGTAACGTTTAATAATCAGGAATGGCGTGAAGCGGAAAAATCATATATTTTGGTTTTAGGCGGTGGACGAAAGGAGTCCAGCGTTCGAGGCGGGCCTGAGGCCGGCGGACCTAATAACACATATCAACGGCGAGACCGTACAGGGTCTCTATCACACCCAGGTGCTGCAACTGCTCTTAGGCGGCGCAGAACATGTTAGTTTACGGGCCACCCCTCTGGATCAAACATCCATCAAAACTGGCGGGCGTAAAAGGGAACCCGGACAGAGCAAACTGGCGAAAAGGAGTTTAAATAGACAGAAGAAGCAGAAGAGGGAGAGCGATAAGAGAAGGAAGACGTCGTTGTTCAGGAGGATCAGTAGCAAAAGGGCTAGCGTGGAAATGCAACAGGTGACGTATATTAAAAAAGTTCCCATGTTAAATGGGGTATAGTTGTTACGATATCAATTGGAACCTGTGTCTTAAAGCACAGGACCGTCTGCACATCTCTTGAAATTTCTTATGCTTTAGCCATGATGTGTCACTTAATTTATACTCGAATAGCCATTGGGCGAGTCCGGTATTGGTAGACCAATCCGCCTGATGTAGAATCGACGGCGCATGAAATGACTCTAACTACACTATAAAGTCAACTTTTTTTTTCAAATGGCAATATAGTTTTTTTGTTATTTATTATTGTGCATTTATATAATACAGCAAAGCAAATAAAACTCAAAAGAGAATTTTGTAGTTAACAGAAAAGAAACGATTCAATGAACATCAATTAAAAGAAAAACAATTTAATTAAATACATTAACCATTATACAAAGTTCAGCACGAAATAACATTAATTAAACACAAAACACATTAAACGAAGAACAACAAACACAAAACTAAAGAAACAAATTGTAGCGGTCCTCTATTGCCTGTACTTTTTGAGGAACGTATGGCTTGAATTTGTGCTTTTTTTTGATGCTCTATTATTAGAAATTTCCCGAATGGAAGTTCTTGGGTTTTGTTCAACGTTAAGAAGAACACTGAACTTGATATTTTCACTAAATTGGTGTTTCTCTCGCTTTGGTTGCTTAAAAGCACCGTAGTTTCTCAAATTTTCTTCAAGTCTTACATATCTACGTGGTTCTGGAACTTCTCTGTGAGGAAATAGTTCTCTGTAAAGGCGGACTCCCGCGCCACGATTTTTATTACACCGAAAATATACCTGAATCATGTCCGTCAATTGATCATTACTCATAATTTACACTGTTGAGCTTATTTCAATAAATAACCTACTATAAATGACACAGAAAGAGTATATTGCATAAAAAACTGAGATACGAACACTAAAATGACATTTACTTGTTTTGTTGTATTATTTTTTGTTTTCCAGGCATACATGATTAGTCAAAATATGATTGATTGATATTTTCATGCTTTTGCTGTAATACATGTTCCACAAAACTAGGCTTTATATACATCGTTGAATTCAGAATAGAATTCTGCACAATAACAAAAAAAATTGCCATTTGAAAAAAAAAGTTGACTATCGCTTTTAAAAAATAATAATAGTAAATAGGCCCCAATAGGCTCACTCTATAGTGTATTTGGAGCCATTTAATATAATTTTTTGTTTTTTAAAATCAGACTGTATATGAATGTTTGAAAAGAGAAAATAGTAACAATGTGATAAAGAAATTAGGAAACAGTTTAGTGAATTAACTAAGATATCAAAAATGAGAATTTATCTTATAATTAAAGAAGGAGACGTTATTAATCACGGTACAAAGGAGAAACGGAAAAATACAAAATTAAAGAATATTGACGATTTTACCAGAGATGTAATACGGCGCACAATTTATACAGGGTGTCTCGAAATTCATGCAACAAAATTTGGTCAGATTCTTAAGGCAAATTTAGGGGACCCGTATTTTTGTTTTTTGACAACTGGCCCCCTATTTCGGAGTTACAGCCCCCTAAAATCTACCCCTAAGAAGTCTTTTATATCTCAAAATCATGTGCTAGAATCACTAAATTTGGTACACAGTGGTTTTCTGACATGTGAAATCTCACAGTGCTACGCTTTTTGGCGAGAAACCCCCTTAAGACACTATTTCGTGGGCCTCCTTGTCTTTGGAACCAGAAAAATTTGGTCGCAAATTTGATTTTTTTTTAAATTATCAGTTAACTAGAAAGCCATTGAATTTAGAAACTTTTTTGTCTCTTGATATTTGTTTCGTAAAACGCAATGTTTTTGAGGAAAATGGCGAATCACGATATGCATTCGATCACATTTTGACATTTTTCTCGAAAACATTACGTTTTACGAAAAAAGTATAAAGAGACAAAAAGTTTCTAAATTTAATGGCTTTCTAGTGGACTGATAATTTTTAAGATTGTTATTTTGTAGATGGCTGCCAACATACAATCACCAGTAAGCGTGACTCCTAGCAGGAGCTTTCAGTCGTTCCCCAGAAGCGGAGAAAGCAACTTCTCAACGTCGACCGTAAGAAACTGCGGAGCGAACCGGTCGAGTTTATCCCCTTCGGATTCATTTTCTCAACACTCAAATAACTCCTCCTCTCAAACGACATCATCAGGGAGTCCATCCCCTACGACCGCACCAAACAGCCGTAATAACAAACAACATTACCAGCGACCTTCCACTTTGCACGGCTTAAAACACAAATTGCATTCCACAGGTTGCCCAAAAGCTCTACACACGTCCGGCCCGTCTTGCTCAGCATCTGTTCCTAACAGGAGAAAATCCGTCGGACACATTCCCCTCTCTCCTCTGGCCCGTACGCCGTCCCCCTCCCCGCTACCGGCCTCCCCGACGAGATCCCCGAGCCCTCTCGCCTTTCCCATCGGACACCAACCGGGAAGTTCCAATACCACCCAGTCGTACAGTCCTAGCGCTGGTTCCGCTCCGATAGCGGTAAGCGGTCAGTCGAAAAAGGGTTTCGTTCGGCCGAAGGGAGCAGAACCCGGATCGCCGCTTTTGCGCAGGGCGCTGTCTCCGGATAGGTTACATCCCCGTAGTGCTGAAAATAAATGTTCTATTTCCCCATTATGCTCGTCGGGGAGTACATCTTCGCCTAGCGTTAAGGCTCAAGGAAGGGTCGTGGGCACTTCGACAGTGTGGAGACCGAACTCGCAGCCTGAAAGGGATAAAGATTCTGACACGGATAATTCTCAGTCGAGCGATTTAGGTATGTAGACAAACTTCCTTTAACATTTTTTATTTTTGTTAAACAAAGGAACATTGGGTGTGTTATTTTTAACTGGTTATTTGTCCTTCGTTGTTTTGAGTTTATTTTATTCGCACTAAAAATTCACTTAGCTCGCACGATTGTTTGAGTTAATTACGGAAGACGTCCTAAAATATAACGATTTTTTGTTGGCTTTCTAAAGTTGAGGAACTGTGCTGTTGTGATGGTATGAACTATTTTTGTTAAAATATTATTAATGTTTGCATGAATGTCCCCATTTTAAAGCACAATATCTTTACATATACAGGGTGTAAGAAGTTTGACTGCCACTACTTCAGCATGAGATAGAGTAATCGTAAATGAACAAAAAAGTTGTATATTACAGGGGCGTAAGATTAACAGTTTTCAAAATACAGCGAGTATTAATACAGGGGAGTTTCATCACAACGTGACAACAGTGCTTGACTTAACGCTACACAGCTGGTGCATACCACGTGTGCACGCGGCAGACTTGTCCTACGGAAAAAATGTAAACAACTATTATTGTGAAACATTTTGTAAATTTCAAGACAATTGCTTTCCATTTTTCAAATAAATAAAATAAAATGTATCGATTTTGTAGTACGAAGATAGTGTTGTGCTTAAATTTTAGCTCGAATTTTAGTAATTATGAGTTTGTTAAAGCAGAAACTTAACTTTTAATCAAATTATCAATTTGAAAAATGTGTAATTAAAGATTTATGTCATCCAGATAATCATACGTATTAAAAATAATTTAGGTACTTACCGAAAAGCAAAATTCAGTAATTTTTAAACACACAAGTACATAACAAACTACAACATGTACTCAAAATGTCCACCACCATATTCAATGCACACACGACACCTTCGAATCCAATTTTCGCGCACTCACTGGAAAACACTAACAAAAGGAAACGGAATGCAAAAAACACTCAGACGCGGTCCAATTCCAGATACCAACTGAATTCCGTAATGCTGGACAGCTTAGTACCTCGTGTTATCCGCCACGCCATTGTCACATTGCTCGATATGAACTTTATCGAATTTTAAATTTATTACAATGCTAATTATTTTTTAGAATTAAGCATAAACAAGTTAAAAAAAGTGAACATTGTATTTTATGGTATTCTATGCACACAGTTATGTCAATATTCCTTAATTAATCGAACTTTTATACATCAAGTTGGAGATTTTTATAATTTTTGTAATATAAGGTTTTTTTGTTTATTTTAATGTATTCTATCGTCTGTTAAAATTAAGGCAGTCAAACTTCTAACAACCTGCAGTATATTGTTTTCCATATCGCAAATTTAAATGTAAAATATTTATTTTTTTTAAACCGCTCAAACAAAATATTTGGTTTTCTAATATTTCACTTGAATTCAACTGTATATATATATTTTTAAATAGAAAAAAATTGTACAATGTTAATTCTTAAACGCTTTTGTGTATTTTATGAAAATATTTAATTTGGCCATTATAAAATAAATAACTGTAAACATTTTTTAGATCATTAATAATATTTTACTGTATAATATGTGTTAAAATATTTCTCCAATACACAGTATGTTTCACTTAAAGTCAAAACACCTCCGTATTTAGGATGGCGTTGGCCGATTTCCAAAATTCTTTTTTCTTATGTGATAGTACTCAAAAAGGCCTACTTTTTGATATTATAATTTTTGACATGTGATTTTTTCTATGCCCTACTATCATTAATAAAAGCCTCAAAAATTAAAAAACATATTAGGCATTTTATTAAGAAAGAAATGGATAGCATTTTCGATTTGATCGCACCTCAAAACCCTAAATACAAAGTTTCATTATTATAGGGTGTTCACAAAATAGGTGCAAACTGCTAAAAATTTCACTCATTGCAGTGTCTTGTATTAGTGGAAAATATTTTCAAGGTACTTTTTTCATAATTTTATTGACCGTAGGTATATCCATGCAGTTTCATTAATTTCACTCATACAGGGCTCACAATATGATAGCCGAATTATATATTTTTTTTGTTGTACCAGAAATGAGTTTCACAATGAAATAATATTTAAATATTACCGTTTTCTATTAGCCCGACACCATTTTGTATAGACTGTTCAATAATAATGGACTAATAGAAAACAGTAATATTTAAATTTTATTTTGTTGTGCAACTCATTTCTGGTATAATAAAAAATATATATAATTTGGCTGCCTTACTGTGAGCACACTGTATGAATGAAATCAATGAAACTGGATGGAAAGATTAATTAAAATTAATAAAAAATACCTCAATAATATTTTCCACTGTTAATGCAGGACACTGCAATGAGTGAAATTTTGAAATTTTTCGAAGTTTGCACCTATTTTGTGAACACCCTGTAAAAGCTATAATAATGAAACTTTGTTTTGAGTTGTGATCAAATTAAAAATGCTATCCATTTCTTTCTTAAAGAAATGCCTAATGTGTTTTTAAATTTTTGAGGGTCGTTTCTTAATGATAGTTGGTCGTAGAAGACATCACATGTCAAAAATTATAATATCAAAAAGTAGACCTTTTTGAGTGCTACCACATAAAAAAAAAGAATTTTGGAAATCGGCCAACGCTATCCTAAATGTGGAGGTGTTCCGACTTTAAGTGAAACACACAATAGAAAAAGAAAATCTAAAAATGAATGCCTCTAATATCTCTGTTTTGTTTTTGTTTATCTTACTGCCCCTTTTAAATACGTTCATTTTTTTTATTGCTTTTTTATATTAAGCTTTTCCTCCTTTGTTCGCTAGTTCTAATTCTTTTCCTAAAAATATGTTAGGGGTGAAACATTTTAAAATTATGTTGGTGTAAATGGAACAAACCGATAGTAGGCGTATAATTTTTTCATAATTCAAGGTTTAAATTCGTCCACGTCGGAGAACCGTTTGTCTCTGAATCTCTCCGGTCCGGGTGAGTTTCTGCCGAGAATAGCTGAGGAAAAAGATTCCCCTACGAATGGTCAAGAAGGGAAAGAGAAATGTGATAAAAGTTTAGAAATTAACAAAATTAAGACAGTGCAGGAAAATATTAAACACGAAGTGAAAGTCGAGTCTGGGAGTTCTTCGAAGGGCACTGATTCACAGACGACAAAAATTTGTGATAAAAACCAGAGTGAGTTAGAGAAAGATAAGAAAGAGAGTATTGGAAAAATTTCGCAGAAGGATAGTAAGCCGCCAGTTGGGGAAAGCGCCGCAATTACTAGCAAAATAAAATCTGAAGGAAAAAGCAAAGAAAGTAAAAAGGAAGATAAAATCAGTGGTAAGCCACCACCAAAGTAAAATTGTAGGGTCTAACGCTGCATTAACTTTTTGTTGAAATTCTATAATTTTTAGAATAAAACTGTTTTTTTTATGTTTTTCACCTTTCCTAATTAATTTGAGATGTATTATGTGTACCCTTTGTCTAAAGAATGTATAATACTGTTTAAAGTGCAAGTATTTAAATTTTTCTTGAGGAGTATTTCAACTTATACGTTGCGTTATTAAAGACTGAACACATTTATTCGCCATTTTAGTTGATAAGGTGGTGGTGCGCTTTCAGCAGTTATCATTTAATCCCATTCTGTTGAATGTAATGTTGCTTTTTTATTTCACATGATGTTGCATCCATCAAATCTTAACTACATCGCTAAGTCTTATGCAGGTTGCTCTTTATCATGTACTGTATATGCTCAAGGTTAGATAAATAGGAGGCAACATTCCGTCCAACATATTTTAATTTACTTTGTTTTTATTTAGCTTTTTAAATTCCCAGCAGGTAGTCTTTGACGACCTGGTAATAATGTCTGTAATTTAAATACTCCATTATAATTAAAAAAATGTGATGTTAGATGTACCTTTGTATTAAAATTTTAAACTATCCTTTTTTATTTTTAGGAAAGTCTGTTCTTTTTAATATTAATTTTAAACTATAATCATTTACTTTGTTCAGTTGCAAAGATTATTATAAACTTACACACCCGCTGAGTTGTTAGTAAATAGAAGTTGCTTTTCTTTTCTCTTAGACGCTAAAAGAAAACCAATGGTTTTTCAGAGGTTGGAATTCTACGAGTACATGATATATTCAAAGTGTAATTAAACCTAAATAGTATATGTGACTATAATATTGCTTTTTATGTTTTTGTTGGATCTCGAGTTCCTTAATGAGGGCACTTTGCAATATGATTACAAGGCAACTTTTTTACTGTTTCGGAATTCGTACTAAATATTGCGTATATCATTAATTTCTTTTGTACTGGCAAGCTTGTATTATGTATATATTTTTTGGGCTTAGAACGAATTGGACTAGTTTTTCTATTAATTATTATAAATGTGTGCCGGGATTACAAATCCTAGGACAAACTTTATTAACAACGTACGCGATTTAAAATTTTATGGAACACGTTCCCACATGGGCCAAGGAAATATAGCTAAAAAATGAATTTTATTTTTAAACACTTCACAGTGATAATATATTTCATAAAATTCTTGACAAAGTGACTGTTAATCAGCATTATATCAAAAGTTAGAATTATTAGAAAAATTCTTGCAAACGTGTTCTAACCCTTATCGATATAGTTCTCTATGTACTTAATTGAATTTGTTTAAAACAGTTTTTTCTTAATATACATTCTTGAAAATTGTGATTTTGATATTTGTAATTAAAAATGTTATACATGTGTTAATGAAAGAAAATATAGAAATACTTTAATTAAGTTTTTTTGTTAGACCCGTTAACAAAGCTGAAATAAAATAAACATTTCCAACCCTAAATATTTTCAGTTACCTAGATGTAGTGATGGTATGGGTTTTAATTGATTTAAAAATATATAAGTAATAATACACTAGGTATATATGTGCAAAGAAAGTGTACTTAAAATAAACAGTATAATTTTTCTTTCCTGGCAAATAAAAAAAAATTGTGTTTTTTAAATTAAAATTAAAGTACAGAAATAAGATAAAAACATATGCTTTAAGGGAGAAAAAAAAAGTATTGAAACGTCAAAAGAACCAAATAAATTGTTATCCCATTTCCGCAATTTCTATCTGTAAACTTTGAATTTGATTTTTGTATACAATTTTCTCCAAATATTTAAATTTAAAAAATTGTCGGTCTTTTATCAGAAGAAAATTGTTATCCCTTCAAAAAGCATAAAGGAATTATTCAATTTTGAAATCTCTTAAAACCGTACTGCACTGGATCCCTTGACAGGCAAAGATTTATTTATTACTTTGCATCGAATATGATCGTACTATAGCATTTAAAGTGATACTAATTGGGGCTACCTTAGGCAGAATTTTAATATAAAACTACCAAAAATGATTTTCCCAAAAATCTTAAAAAAGTCGCAGCTTGCCATGGATTACGTACTAGAATGACACTATATATAAAAAAATTATTTTCTAGCTTCGAGAAACACTCAGTTTCAATGTTTCGAAGGTTCCAGCCTGAAAATTGTTGAGCCACTGACAACTACCGTGGAATCTACAAACCAAGCTTAAAATTTAACCATTGCTAATCCGATTGGAGTGAATTTGTGAAATAGTATATTTTACTTAAAAATATAAATTTGCGCTGTGCTTGCTCGTGCTACGTAAGCAGCACCACATAACCAGACCTCTGAATTTATGAGGACCTAAAGGGAGGTAAGATAAGCCGTGGTCCACTTAGTGATTTTGAAAATTTTAATCAAATTTGAATTTACCGCCGTTACGTTACATCTGACATTTTTCTTTCATGTTTTTTTTATTTACTGACATTCTATTTTCGCGACACTTGTTTTACTGGGGTACGTTCAGTTCCTAAACAATGTTTAAATATGCAGTCTTTATTGAATACATAAACTTTGAGCATGTACATTATTTCAACTTTTCCTTTTTTTCGATATATATAACTTATTCGAACTTCGAAAGAATAAATCAACAATATAATCACTATACAAACAAACTACATGCGGAATACATAACTATAAAAATCTGAACACGGCCGATTTTTGATTTGATCCGAGTTTGCTTTGGAAGTTCTTTAGCGCCAAAAACAATATCTAGTTATGTCTAATTTTCATGACAGTATGTAATGCGTCTATGCAATAATCCTTGTTACAAAAATTTTATAAACTGTAAAAAAATGATTAAGTCAAGTATCGACGATCTTTCCGACGATGTAGATATAGACAGTTTTGATTATTCTATTTCCTCAATTTCTAGCGATGGTGAGTCAAGTAAGTAAATGTTTGGTAATAGTTTCTAAAACATAAACTGTTGTAAAATTGTTTCCATTTGTTAATTATTCTTGCACTTTGTTAATTATAAGTCTAATGGAAAAACAATTTCAAATAATCTTTAGGAAAATGACAATTTCGCTAGAGCTGTATCGTCTGCAATTATTCCATTAATAGCAAAAGTGAACATATTTTTATTATATAAAATATATATATTTTTTAACAATTTACTGTAACTTACGACAGCATAATCTAACTCCTATTTGTGACCGAAGGTTTTGTAAATAAAAGAGGCGCAGTAACTTGTATATGTAATATATTAAATATGACAAACAATAAAAATTATACTTAATCTAAATATATCTATAGAAACTTGGACTGTATTAATGTTCTTAACTTTTGTGGTACATACATGATGATGATGCGTTATACACTTAATTAAACTTCTTACAAACAAAACAAATACTATTGAAAATCATTGCAAATAGCAAGTTTGCAAAGTGCTTTGCAAAAAATTCTGTGTAAATTCAGAAAACTGAATTACCCAAATTTATATTACAATATTTTGCAAATATAAATAAGCTTCACAAACCTACTTAATTAAGATTTCTTCAAAATAAATGGAATGCAAACATACAGTTACTAGATAAAAAAATAAAATTATAAATTACAGGAACATTTTTTTTTAAGATAAAACTGCAAACAAAATATAACGTTCAATAAATTTTTCTTTGAAAACATAAATATTGTTACCTAAACAATTATTTTGAAGATAATTTAAATCTATTAATAGAATTATTAAATTCTGTATAACAAAAAATAGCACCAAATATTATTTGTCTTTTGTATTTATACCAAAGTTATTGGTATTCATTGTTGTTGAAACAAATCTTTCATTGTGTACTGTTGTAGTATCTGGACCGCGATATTCATCCGTCGTATATTTTTTTCTTTTCGAAGGCGGGTCTTCATCCACTGCTAGGTTCGGTATATACTCATCGACGTCCGGTTCAACAAACCCTTTTTTGTTGCGGTACCCTCCATAATCGGTTTTTCCGAACAATTCCGCCTTGTCTTTTTCAAGGAAGCTCTTGACGGACTCGATAACTCTACTGAACAAACCCATCTTGGGGCTGTTCTTCTCCGAGAGAATCCCCTCATATTTCGCGCTCATCTCTTCTAACATTTTCATGTACTCTTTCTCAGTAGAGTTCTCAATATCGAGAGCCTCTTCAGCAAATTTATTTTCAAACTCGTTATCGTCGTCTTTGAAAACTAAGAACTCCTCCATGTTCAAGCTATCATCTTCGGTTGTTAACAGGGACCTCCGAATTGCTCCCTGTTCTTGCTCCGTAGATATTTGTTTATTTTCAAACAATTTCATGTTTGGCAGTGTCACCAAAAGTGCGGAGAGCAACACTACCATTAGGCAAGTAGACGGAGTAGCTTTCGATGTTGTTGAATTGCATATCAAAGCTTGCAGTTTGCTTACGTGTGCAATCAAGGTTTTATTCTGCTTTTGGAGCTCTCGAACTCGTTGCAAAAGGTTTTTGTTTTCTTCAGAACCACGTTTAATTCTGCAAGGATTAAAAAAATTAAACACATACAAGGACTGGAAATCAATGCGCAAAACCGAAACATAATAGTAATTTTGACTTACCTTTCTTCTAGTCCATCCACATATTCCTTTTTCCTCTTTCTGGAGTCTTGTGCTGAAATCTTATTCCTGATTTTCCTCCTGATGCGTTTTAGCTCCCTCTCTTCATTTTTCGTCAAGGGATGATGTGAAGGAAGCTGAATGCCCTCTTTGGCCAGCAGTCTTTTTTCTTCAGCCGTTAAATTAAGTGGTGGATATTGATTTGTGGAAGATACCACGTTGGTATCATCTGATAACAGGTAAAAGTAAGTGAATTGAGAAGATTTCTTTCTTTAATATTTACCTTCACCTGGAGAAATAGGAGCTGCAGGTTCAATCTTACGCCTTTTTAGGCTTCCAGACAAAGCAGCGACATCTGCAGAGGTGTTCAGTATTTTTATACCTTTCACACTTAAAGGTAGAAGTAGGGGTCTTCCATTATTTACTTGTTGCACCTTGAGAATTTGGGGTTTGCCTTTCAGGGGAGTCTTTTTAATTTGACCTAAAAGCAATAGATCATTTAATGCAACTTGCATTACTTAGTATTAAAGCTATACTTGTAACGCTAAGACAACATATGGTAGAAAAACTGAATCACGCATAATAACGGTAGTCTGCTTTACACACAGTTTGTCTGCAATCAGAATTTCAACATAATGTGTTTGACATCAAATTGTGCATCATAAAAAAATTATTTAGATACAGAAATACTTACTGGCGTTTATCATAGGCTTTGCAATGAACTTCTTATTATTTGGATTCTGAATTAATATTTTTGTTGGTTGCTTCTGAATAGTAGTTTTTACAATGGCAGGTACACTTTGTGCTTCAAATTGGACATTCGGGATAGGTTCTAATAAAGACATCAACATTGGGTCGTCAAAACCATCAATACTACTTAAGACGGAAGCCCTAGAATTAAATTATATGTAATTTCCCCTTGATCCTATCCGTAATAACGTTACGTACGATTCATCTAACGTTTCTGTACAAGTGCTATTCTTGTCACTCTCAGAATAAAGACTTCGTGGCGATAAGACTTCATCTGTATGAGAACTAACATCACTTGATAAGTTTATGTCATCCTCGAAATTGGAGAAAAAACCATCTTCTAAGTTGTTTTCGAGGGATAATACAGAATCAAAAAATTCTGAACTCTAGAAAAAAAGTATTTTTGTTGCAGAAAAAACAATATTTAAACTTATTGTAAACAGCAGAAGGATTAAATTAACATTAATTTTGCTTTTCTGAAAATTATATTATTATAACTGAAATGTTAAAATTTGGTTGAACAGTTATAATATTTATGATGAGAAATTGATAAATAATCACTAAAATTCTTTAATATGAGAGCTATGGTAACAATTAATAAATGGGTAGATAATAATTCTTTAATATAGAGATAAGTATATTATCAGTTTAATTGTATCCAGAAGCTAATAAACAGAGTAAAAAAAAGTAGTTTCATAATACATAACAAAATTATTAAAAGTATTTTTCCTTAAACTTGCAAATTAATAAAAAACAAATGTATAAGTAGTAAAATCCAAAAATGTTCGGTTTAGTTACGCACGGATTGCATCAGATTGTAATAAAAATGTTCATCATATACAGAAAAGCAAATTATTGTTTAAATATAATGTTTAACTATTTAATCTTAGTGTGCATAGTACTTATGCCTATGTTATTTATAAAACAAATTGTAAAGTGGGACATACCAAAATTCCTTTCTTAAAAATATTCTCTTGCGTTTTATTACATTTTCAAAACTATTATTACAGAAGAGGCTAGAGTTTTTCTACAATTTCATTCAAATTCTTTAATGTTATTATAATTATAGTTAGCATGTGGCATCCACAAAATTATAATTTTCTTAAAAAAAAAAAATAAAAATATGCTTGTATTGCTTAGAGCTGGCACAAAAATTACTCTTTTTTGAAAATATTGACTTATAAATCATTAATTTTAAATGAAGCTGCTTTCAAATATGCACCATATTGTTTATGATTTGACCATGTGGTTTTACTTTTACAATATGGATTGTAATATTTAAACACATTGTAAAAATTGGAGAAATGAGACCTTTGCTTACACATTTTAGACTACGTATGTAGTAAGCTGATGCAATAAATTTTAAATGTTTTTGAAAAATATGGGTATATGTACATAGGCCAATATAGAAAAACAATATTTTTCAAATTGACTGTATTTATTTCACAACATTATATCAACGTTTTCTTCCATTGAAAGTATTTTTTTTTAAATACGTTAAGTTGTTTAAATTTCTGTTATAATTAACAAAGGGAAATTAACTGTACTTTTGAGTGACATGTGTTACTTGTTGCAATATGTGTTGAACTTTAAATGCACTTTTTTTAGTATTCCATGAAAATTAGTTCGAAAATGATATTTTTTAAAGGGACTGTTTCGAAAAAATGCAGAATACTTTTTTCTGAAAACGCATTTTGCACTTGACGCGTATTTTATAAGAGCGTAGATTTATCATCCATTCATTATTTATCTCTTTTTTTTTGCTCTAATGAATAGGAATTAATCTGGAATAATTACGAATCGATTACTAACCATTAGTTCAGGATTTTCGTAGTTTAACGACACGTCCATGTTTTCCATAGCGCCGTCAATCTCCTCTCCACTAGAGTTCAATAAATCATTTATGTTCATTGTTTTCGGTCACTTGAATTTATGCACACATACTTAAATTCTTTTTAAAATTGTTGCTCGCACTGTTAGAGTCTGTTATTGATTTTTTCGTCACAATATTTTCATTTAATTTTTCTAGTAAGTAGAGTACTACACCCTGCAAGAGCCAGCGTGGAAGTAGTGACGTCAATAATACACCGCACCTGACGGACAGATTGTTTTGTTTTGAAATAGAGTAAACCAAAAGCGAAAATCGCTATGATTCATGGGGTTTTCTCGGTAATAGTGACTTTAGGAGGTTCTGTACCTACGCAGTATAATTATACACCAGCGTGCACCCTCTTCGAAAGGCGTAATTACGTCCCTACTACTTCCATTTTTTATACTCCAATTCCATATTGCCAGCTATCAAGAAATTTTTATTTATAAGCATCTGCGCAAGCGTCCTTCTAATGCAGGACCGTAATTAAACTTTCTCGTGTTCTTGCATAACTCGGTGAATCATCGAAGACTGATTAAGAAACAAGTCCGCGTCCATATCTCCCTATGTAGATATTCTTCTCTCTCATTGTCAATGTAAAAAGTTAAGGCAAAACCGTATTCGTATTTTACGTTAAACTACCTGTGAAGAAATAATATAACTTTTTATGATTTACTAAAGTTTAGTATTCTATATGCATACAAAATATTTCAGTAGATATGTTTTTGATTTTTATAAATTTGTGAGAGTATTTAAAATAATAATATTTAATTAGTGTACGTGTTTCAGTTTCTAGAATAAATTTTTGATTTGATTATAGATTTGATTCCATTAAAAAAACGAAGAATATAAATATTTTACAGATCGAAACTGCACCAGTTTCTATAATTTTTTACTTTTGTTTGTTTATAAGTATTAAATTACATCTGGTATTACTATTTGTGGACAGTCGTGTGAACTTAATTTGTCATTGTATTAATACATTACTTGTAATGAGTATTATATTTACTTTATCGTTTGTTTAGTTAGTAATAGTTATTTGTATATAATTATACAATGTAAATCGATATTAGAAGCTATAAAACGCGCACTATTGGGTAGTCACGTATAGTATAATTTTAGCGGTAATATTTGAATTTAGTTATCATGTCAAATGGTCGCCATGGCAACGGAACATATGATCACCACGCCTCGATTTCTATTTTCCATACGTTTTTTTATATAATGATTTTATGAAGATTGAACAATTTGATGACTAATGAAGATACCGGTAAAAATCGCCATAAAATGTAAAGAAAGCAAAAAAGATCATTTTTCTATTTTTGTATGTAAATGACATCGGAAACATTGGTTTGACGCATGCTCAGAAAAGTTCTGACCTAAAGTCAATGGTACGGCACACTCTCTGTGAGGAAGAGTGCGTGAATATGGTGCATTCTTAGAATTAGAATGATCGTTTTAGGATAGATTGTGTAGTGGACTTCCACTTGTGTTTCGTTGATGTGCATTTGTTTGTGTTTTGTGGCGGACATTAGAAATTTTCTCCATCTTAAATGACGTTGACCGGGTCTTGAGTGAGTAATGGCGTTAGCCGTTCATAATTCTAACCACGGAATATGGAATTGAAATGACATTTCAAGAGAACTTATCAACCTGAAGAAATTTTGTAATTAATGTACTTCTTATTAGTGCAATCCCTGTGCACCTACGACTTACTGCCTAGTGTTTGAAACATAAACTTTCTTGGAATTTGTGAAATAACTGTGATAATACAAGATGTGATATACCTAAACGTTATTTTATGAAACACAATTTTCTTTTAAGGCTCCTATGCTTTGTTCTACTTGGATTAATAAACATTTATAGCATATTTCCCAAGCATTGAAAAAGGTAAGCAACTTTTTGTGTTGATGCTGTAGTGTAAGATAAATTCATAATTTTTGAGTCAACTACCTACTAAACAGATAAACAAGAAACTATACCAGCTCACAATATCTTATGTAAACTTGTTCATTTTTACTGCAATTCATTTTGCAATTACTTTCCTATTAACAAATTCTAGTTTTGTCTATTTTATTAGTAAATATTTATGCCATTTATCTTTTTCATCCACTCTGAAGGTTTACCCAATCATAAATCATTTTCTACACAAGATATTTTTGCAGCAATCTAATGATAATTGCTCAGATAACTTTATTTATTTTCATTTATCTTGATCTTGCTATTCACTGTACTCCACATTTTCACTCCTCAGATCGAAGGTTTTTATCCAAGTTTTATTTATCTTTTTCCCTATTATCACTTCATATCGAACGTCAAAATAAATGAAAATTTATAATAAATACAATTTTGTGAGGTTAGATTTTATACCATTTTGAATTAAGGAAGATCACTTTTATAAATAAATAAATATTTAAACATTTAATGCCGAAAAAAATATTGACTGCGTTTTTTAGGTATTTTCAGTTTTCAGAAACAATTCCTGCCAGTATTATAAAGTAACATAATTGTTATTCTCATTAAAAATAATAAATATATTGCCTCTGTCAGAGGATTGATACTGCTAATTCCTGTCTATATATATTAATTAAATGAAAGAAAATTTATAGATTTGGATTACTTTATTTAGAAACAATAATTAACATGGTAGTTAATTAAGTAATCGTTAATTGCAGGTGTACTGTAACGACGTCATGAGTATTAAGTATGTCCAAATTATTTAATATTTTATGCTTGATATAAACGCAAAGGGTGGATCACTATTGATAAAAGAAAAATGATAGTTGTACAACAATTTTGTCAATTAATCTTATTAATTATAATTCTCGTCTTTGATTTATGTGACCTTGCTTCTTAGTTGTCCTGGAATCAGAAATCACATACGAGATAATTGTAATAATATTCATAAGGGATAAATCTTTGTTGCATATTTTATCCGACAATTAAAGTCATTTTACAGTATGCACAGTGATACATTGCACTTGATTAAAAGAATGTATTGGGAGAAAAAGTTAACTATTTACGTAATTCTTAACAAATCTTTCAATAAATCCGCTAATCTAACAACATAAACGCTTGAGATTAATAGAATGATTAACAGAATTTGTGAAATTACGAAAATTTAACGGTTAGTGTGAAGAATCATTAATTGTTGTGATTCAACTTGTTTGAACATGTAGGAACAGGTAGTTTTACTATGCGGCTGTAGGGTTGAAGTAGGTTTTAATGGATTGGGCGTTGACGTAATATACTTTTCAATAATTTTTTTTTAATACGACCCGTGAATAAATGTAAAATCTCCAAAAATAGCGCATTCCTGTTGTTACGTTTGTTGCATCAATCATATTTGTATTTTTTCCAGTAAACTAAGAACTCATTACTCGCGGATATTTTAGCATTGCATCTAATCGGTCAGTACCGGCAGCCGTAAATGACTTTTTAATTGCGTAAAAGACATATTTAAAGAAGGTTATCTGATACGAGATTGGAGCAGAATTTGATTTCTGCCTGTGTATAATTTACTTTCCAAGTTGATAGTCCCATCCTTCTCAAGCCGTTGATTTGTATGACGGTTATATGACATCATGTATCGAATATCTATCGAACAAAAGGTGAGAGATGAAGGAATAATTGTATAATTACTATGCTATTTCTAAGACATTTGTTACCTGCATGTTTTACGGGTTATTCCATGAAATTGATTTGAATATTGACCCCTGTTTAGATTTCCTACAAAAAATACGTTTGTGGAGATTGCATATAGTTTACATCCGGAAACTGAGAGAGACAAATTTGTAATTTGCAACAGTTAAATTAATAGTTAATAAAGGAACAATTAATCTTATCTGTTATTAATTAATAGTGCTACAAATTTTTTACATACACTCACATTTGCATTTCCAGGGAATGAATAATTATAGATAAATACTATTATGGATAAGCCTTACTTTTATTAGCTGTGAAATCGTTCATTTTAAAGATATTTGGAAAATTAACGGTGTGCATGTATTTTAACTAGCCATAAAATGCCTTTGGGTATGATTCGTCACATATAAGTAAGAAAAACTAATGTAAAAACTAACTATTCATAATATATTTTTGCTGGTTATGCATCACTAAAACAGGAATTAAATTTAGAATACTCTAAATCATTTTAACATTTACGTATCTCGTAAAATAACTTTTTATCCAAGTGGTATGAAATTAATTGCACGATGTCAATGATCCGCCTTTTTTTTGTTGTATTGTGCTTCAATTTCGCTAAAAACTATCCGTACACGTTTTCTAAAACTCATGCTGTATTCCTTGAAGTTAATAACGAATTTATGTTCTTGAAATGTTATTAATATTCTGGACCGGCTTGGGTGATTGTTCACTTTAATTTACGATCGAAAGAAAATATTAATTGTCTTTTTTAGTAACGTAATAATTTCTCTTTTTAAATAACAAATCGTAAAAACTCGGGCAACGTTTAAAAGTGACACTTGTCTACATGGAATAATTGCAGTTAATTTCATTAAAGTAATTACTGAATTATAATAATTAAGTGCCACTTATTTTAATTGTTGCATTTTGACATTCAATATATTGAAAAAATATCTGTTCGTCGCGTGGTCAATTAAAATAGTAAGTACGTAATTAATTCAGCTTTTTTAACAACAAATATAATTTTTGACTTAATATTCGGCTTTGAAAGATATTTTGAATTTATCAATGAAATTGAATGTACATTACTGAATGTTTAAAAAATGATTCCCATCCATGTTCTTATCCATATCAGCGTTTGCTTTTTTATTTGTCACAATTCTTGCTATAAATACCCCAACAGTGCCCTCCCCAAGAGCGAGTTCTTAGGTGCAGATGTTGAACTTGCACCTTTTCCGTCTTGGTCTAATAACCTTATTGACGTCAGCCCTTTTTCCAAGGATTGAAAAAGGTGCATAAATTAATTGGTGTTTTAGGAACAGGTCTTTATCGAATTGAAATTCAGCCGCTATTGATCTAGACCAGTCCCTAAACACGTCGAACCATTTTCAAAAGTTGATCAAGTCTGTTGGCTACTAAAATGTTCCTTCGTTTATCTAAGGCTTAATTTACGTATTTAACTATTTTCTGAAAAAAATTACAATGCTTTCTAATTTCGTTACTACCTATTATATGAAAAGTCTGGAACTTTTTTATTTTTTAAAATTCTGTTGTGGTTTTTGCGGTCTTATTATCTTTGCGAGTTATTTGGAAATTGTGACGTTTTTTCTGCCTAGGAAGCTTAAAATGGGCGATATATCGACTCCGTATATGTTATCCTGAAAGTCGAAGATAATGTAACTTATCCGGATGGGATAAATTATTCATCCTTCCCACGCGTTTCGATCCATGACACGATGGCGACGGAGTTAGCTACTACATTACCCAAAAAAACATGACAGTAACGCGAAAAGTGAAATTTAACTTGCCCTTTTCGCGAAATTATCCAATTGATTTCGTTTATAATTAATGGACAGGGTGACCCGGAGCAGATGGTTGCCATTACAGGAAAGCGGAAAGAACAAACAGGAAACCTCGAGAGGGGACCCTCATGGCATGACTTTATAATTATTTGAGTTTAAATTTCGTGTTTCATAAATCATTTTTCTGTCCTGTTTTTCCCAACTTTTTTTATTTTCAAAAGATATATGATTTTTCTGCAAACTTTCCACATTTATTAAAAAAAATATATACTCAATGAAAAAGTAGATTAAGATTCTGAATTTTGACTATGCTCGGAAATTAGCAATACCTACGGCTTTTTAGAAACAAATTTCCGTCTATATATATAGACGGAAATTTGTATATATATATATATATCATTTTATATATTTTGAAGGGGAATCATCAGTTCTGGACTACCCTGCAGATATAGGAAATGTATCTAAGTGTATGTAAATTAATATTTGTTTAAGTTTAGGTCAGTAGTTTTCGTGTACTTAGTATTTTCATGTAATAATATAGTTTTCTCCGTTTTGCTTGTTGGTAGGTACGACAAAGAACTTTTAGCTTAATTGACTAAAGTTGCTGTTCCGAACAACTAATTTCAGTCCTGTAATGAGTTAGCTTTGAAAATGGAAACCGCAACACACGAATGGGTTTAATAAAACAAGAATTGTTTAGTTTATGGTGGAAAAGGGGAACTAAACATACAACACCAGGCATATAAAAGGTGGATGAGACTATTTCGCTAGTCTCATCACATTGACTGAACTTTTTATTTTCTTCGAATGTTAATTCTTTTCCGCCTACTTTGACGTCCGCTAACCACGATTAGTTGTATTTTTAACAGTTGATCGAGTTTTTGTAGTGGCATCGAATTGTAAAATTGATATCTTCTTCAAACTATATTTGTTTCTAAGATGTTTTGGTACCCATAAAATTATATTGCAATTTTTATAGCCCAAATTTATTTTTGGCATGGCAAGTTTGCGCGGTTATTGCACTTCCCAGTTTATTTCTCCTTACCATAAAATTTAATTATAAAATTTATCATCCGTTAAGAGAAGATGAATAACGTAATTATTACCTTATATTTTCTTTATTTAGTGAAGATAATTGATTTGCTTCCTTTTCATATTGTGTCTAAAGGCTATCGATGAAAAACTAGTAAGAGTTGAAAAAAAAAGTATTGAAAATATTGACTTTGAATTGCTGAATTAATCCAGTTGTTATTATAGGGCACATTGTTGTCTTGCTTTTAACACGCTTCAAGATAAACCTTGCAAATAGGTGCTCATGCTCGGCACTTAAGTGATTGACTCGAAAGCAACTCTACTTTAGTGACACATCTGCAAGGCAGTTAGTCGAGGAGTTCGAGGAATCCCAGGCCGCACATTAGATATCGGAGGAATTTGATCGATTGTTGACCTCAACATTTTTAAAATAACAAAATTTCTATACTTGAACATTCAATTCACTTGTTTGTTTTGGCCGATGTGATAATTTAATTCTCAAAAAATTCAGTCGACGCTCTCATTTACCTTTTCCTTAGGATATTAATAATGTGCTCAAAAACTTGAGGGAGATCTGTAATACTTAAAATATATCACGTATGTATAAAAAAATTTCGTATTATTCTAATGTCTACACAATTCGATAATTTTGCTGCTGCTTTAACCTTAATTTTAGATAACAAATAACCATAACAGTTGTTCAAAATTATTATTGCACAATTATTATACTAAAGTACCTACGCAACTCACGACTAGATTTCTAAAAGTGCACTTATATGAAAATGGTATCAGTGGGCTCAACAATAATTAAGTGTAATCCAGGCTTATTATAATGTATTCAACTTTGATTAGATTTGAATGACTAGAATATTACAAGTTGTTAATAAGAAAACGTACTGATGATAAAAAGACGTATTTAGATACAGACACGCGAAGGTCTATAACATTGTTATGGTTAAATATATAAAACGTCGAGATTTATCTATTATCTCATTTTTATTTCTTACGGAATCCATTTGCAATTTTACTGCAGATAAAAATAATTTTAGAAATTATGCCTTATTTTTAGTTTCTATATTATCTCGATAACTTTTGACTGAACTGTAATTATTATAAAATTAAATATTATATAAATTCGCCATTTTTTTACTTTACAAAGTTTTGCTCAGAGTGCAGTTCCAGTTAATTTGTTGAAATTATTCAGAAAATATTTATTCCGTTTCATTTGAGATAATTTCTGACGCTTTTTTACACTTAACTAATACTTGCAAAACTTCGTGTTCCTTATTATTTTGTTGTTATTATCACATTCATATTTTGAAATAAATGGAATGGAATGAAATACGGGAATATTATTTAAAATATTTTTTGACCACCAATAATATTTCCTAGGCATATTGGCGACAGCTACAACTATTATATGCAACAAATGAGTCATTAGTAGGTCTATTTTCACCAGGGGGTTCATAACATATCCACGCTTTGAATATTTTATGTGCCTATTCCCTAAAAGCTTGCAATCAACAGACTATGATACGACACAACATCTTGTCGGCTGCTTTGACGTACGTGAATTAAAATATTTAGGTAGTCGATTTCAATTATACGAATTTCATTTGTTTCATGAAACGTACTTTTTCACGCACTTTTGTCTTGATTAATATATTTTATACATTCTTTTATTATGAAGCAGTGATATGGAGTTAATGTCAATTGTGGGGTTTCACCTCTGCACGTCTACCTGAGCTTACACGGCTAACCTTGATTTTTTATGCCACACGAAAAAATTCGCGAAACCCTCTCAGATGTAACTTAATTATAAAATCGATTTCTCTGACTAGAGTTGAAGAAATGCGTTTAGTTTTATTAGTATCACTTTTTTCTTACGTTTGCCAAGATAATTTTTATGGTATTATTAGCTGGTAGCCCTATTGACCTAATTAATAACCAGGGTTCATTGTTTGTTATCATTTAACGTTGGTCAAGAGGAAATAACGAATGAACATTGAAATGTTACATTTCTAAAAATATTTCCCACACTTTCGATTTACAATTTTTTTTTCTTTTAGACTAAAGTGAATGTTTTTCGCTGCACATAAGCCAGCTCTTGAAGTTTTTCACATTTTTTGCAAATTACCTTAATGTTTGCAATTATTTGCCACATTTTTCTCAGTACTTTAATTTCATTCATTACATTGCCACAATTAATATCCTTTTATTGAATATATTTGCGGCATTCTAGCAAAATTTATCGATATCACAAGTATAGAATTGAGATTATACATATCAGAGAGAGATATGAGACAGTTTTTGTCGTATAGGGTTCCTCTACTATCTAATCTCAAGATTGGAGAGTATTGTTTATTACATGTTCTCAAATGGCAACTTTATAATACAATTATCTTAAATACACCATATTCAATTATTTTTTTTTATATAACAGTTAGTTTTGTGACGTTTTATTTGGAAAAATGAAATGCAAACGGTACGCATTTTGTAGTCAGCTTATGTAACATTTTATGACGATTTTTTTGGATTATGGAAAAGCACAATCACATAATGCGTCAGCAGTTTATGGGAAGATGGATAAATAATAGTAAGTAAATGTTTTTAATCGAATTTATTTAGATTCCCTTGCTACAGTGTTTTAGTCATCCATTACCCATCTAGTTTGTGAATTTGTTGAAATTGCAGATATATTATTTATCTTCCTAGATTTTGTATTAGTTTTTTTTGCGATGATCATAAAATGGAACTAGGCCAAAATGATACAGTAATTACAAAAGCAATTATAACTCTAAAACACTTCCCTTTTATGAAATTTTCATTAATTTCTTATTTCTTTGTGATTAACCAACCCAAGTATAAAATTCAATTTTGATTATTTAAAGTTATTTAAGCACTGTTTTGTTTTTATTAGGCTGCAATATGTATAGCATTTGCATAATATGAAATAATTTCACACCTTAATTGTTTATCATAACTTGTTTCTGAATTTTTAATTTTTATCTTTATGAAAATATACAATTACATAAAACTATTTATAATACCCCTGTCCCCTGTAGATTTTTAATAAATAAATATTATTCTACTGAAACATATCTATTTTTTTAACCAAAATGTATCAATATTATGACCAACTGAGAAGATACATATAACTAGAATAATTTGTGTTCATTGAACTAATACTTGTTCTGTTTTGTTTCAGATAGCACCATGGACAAAGTGGACCAGAAACAGAAAAATTCAAAGCGTCATGGTAAGTAAAAACACATATTAACACCACATACATTTTACTTTGCTCGGTATTTAAATTATTCCTAACCTTAAACTTGAAAGTTATTATTGAGGTCATTCTTCATAAAAAATTTTGTTTCTCAAGAAAATCACATCACCACAGGAAAATTTCTATTTTTAATATAGGGTGTTTAAAAAATCAACTGAAATAGTTATAGGGCGAAGTGGCTTTATTTGAAATTTTACAATGTTTAATATATTTAAATGTGTACTTTTGATAGTATTTAAAGCATTATTTTTTCCATTCGATCCTACAAAAACACAGCAACAAGCAGTGAAAACAATAGAGCAGTTAAATGGTATGTCTTTCCGAAGTCAATTGAACATGTAAGGTAAAAAATTATAATAATTTGTATATAATGTGCAGAAAATTTCTATTATATGTTCATTTGGCCAACAACATATTTTAATTATTTATGTCCTGAAACAATTTTATTATATTGATGGTAAATTTCATTTTGTTCCGTTTCAAAAGGTCTCCAAAATGCCATGTTGTAATAATATTAGTAAACACAATATCCCTCTTATTTCTCCCTTTCGCAATTGTAATATAAATGATTAATAGAAGGTACCTATAATAAATTAAAATTAAATGAATCACACCAAATCCCACATTGCTGCACTGCACTGCTGGGCAATTTGTCGACCACTTGTCAGCGGCTGAGATTTATTTCCCAGTGGATCAATGCAGCTGTGTTTGCATTTCGTTTTCTCAACTGGACGTATACATTTCTACCACCTCTACGTTTAGTTCGACCAGACCTGTATATGGGTATGGCCAAATAAATATGAGAACAAGTTTCTCAAATATTTAAATGCTGAGTTGCTGCGTCAGCGACCGAACCTGGTATATACTGTCATTCTCTTGGGTTTTCAATTGATATCGGAAAGACTTATAAGAGCTATTTATTATCACTAATAATTTAACTACTAGTAAGTTTAAAACATCCAGCGGTGCGATATCTAATGAAGATTTCCTTACAAATATGAAAATAGACCTGTGGAAATCTAAAAAAACTATCAATAATGATCGTCATTGAAAAAGTATTTATTTTCCGTAATCAATCAGCTATTACTTGTATGCCGCACAATTCCTATCAAGATAGTGTTTTCAACATGTAATTTAGTCCACCATTAGTAAAATTGTCTGTTTTAAATTATGATTAAAAAAAATGAGTTGATTAGAATCATGACAACTCTGCTTAACATTGTTTTTTTATTAAGATCAACTGCAAATGTACAAATGAGCGTTTTATTTGGAAGGATAAGATTTTTTTTTTTGCAGGTGCGAATGAATCACATAGTACCCGCCACAGCGTCAACTCCAGTTCCGGGGTGCTTATGGTGGGTCCGAACTTCCGAGTAGGTAAAAAAATTGGCTGTGGTAACTTTGGCGAACTGCGTTTAGGGAAAAATTTGTACAATAACGAACATGTCGCCATCAAAATGGAACCAATGAAGTCGAAAGCGCCCCAGCTTCATTTGGAATATAGATTTTATAAGTTGCTCGGAAGCCATGGTGAGTAACCAACATAAAAAAAAGGATAGTTAATCAATTATTTTTGTTAAAGATATATTTTCATTTAATTACATATTTTTTTTTTATAGTGGATGCATTTACTTTTTCAGAGGGTATCCCAGATGTTTACTATTTCGGACCATGTGGGAAGTATAATGCGTTAGTCATGGAACTTTTAGGGCCAAGCCTGGAAGATCTTTTTGACATGTGTGAACGAAAATTTTCACTGAAGACTGTCCTTATGATTGCAATTCAGTTGGTGAGTAAACCGATGCTACATGAACGTATAAAATGAAAATATTGCTCGAGTAGAAGTGGCGCGAATATATTTCCGTTTATTTCTAGTTGCACCGAATTGAATACGTCCACTCGAGACATCTTATCTATAGGGATGTGAAACCGGAGAATTTCTTAATTGGTCGTAGCAGTACAAAAAGGGAAAAAATTATTCATATTATAGGTAAGAACTGAGATTTTTAATTTAAACGATATTCAATGATACTACAAACATTTTTCATATGTCTAATCAAGGCGGCATAGGCACAGTACAATTGCTCTGTTATTAGTGGAGATACAAAAAAATGTTGAAATAAATGTTGAGGGGATTCAAATATACTGTGTTTCAAAATTATTTTTTAATATACATACAGGGTTGTTTATAGCAGCGTTTTTACGTTTTTACACACTATATATTTTTATTGAATTTGTCTTAAAACCCTGCGTATTGTTCATTTACAAAAACTGCAAGCAGGTTTCAAGTGTAGTTTGCTGGGAAATAGTTGCCTAATTCTTAATTTCATAATTTTGGAAACTTTTTACTACAGTTTTGAATAAATCTAAGGCATCATTTTGATCAATAAGTTGAATTACTGTTATTATGGTGAATTTGTTTCTAATTGATGAATTTTTTTAATTATTTCTTTCAGTTTAGTCTTGTTTAATAACACGGCCACACAAAAAAAAAGTTGTCTGTACTTTTCATGCGACATTTGTTTTCCATAGTATTTTTGCCTCCTGATCATGAATGTGGTGTCAGAATTGAGCTATCACATCACAGGAATCACCTAACCTCAAAAACCAGCTCAAAAATAGCAAAAATTCACGAAATAGTTCTAGGAAAAGCACAACAAAATTTTTTTCTATATTCAAATGTTCATTTATGTGGTTAAGACCCCGTCGAATGTGAATCCTCAATCAGAATTGATGGTTCATTTTCTAACCTCAAAAAACGGGTCAATTAAGGTCGGAACGAATTGAATTTTCAAAAAATTACAGATTCGCGCCAAATTTGGTATAGAGGGGTTTTCAGGGTCGCTGATCACGGATCCCAGGTCAATTTTGCAAAATTCATGATGGCGGATCCAAAATGGCCGACCAAATTTTCAAAAAATAACACTCACGCCAAATTTGGTATACGGTGGTTTTCGTCGTCGCTGATTACGAATTGCGAAATTCATTTTGTAATACTTTTGTTTACTTTATAATTGTATCCGCCACCGACAAATGCAAATACTTCCTGTGTTAAATAGAGCACCAGTATTACACGTAACATCAACGCGATTGACTGAGTTTTTATTACTTGGACCAAATTTCATTGCAGAGAACATTGCGAAGTAAAAACCTTATTTTTTGATGTTGTCCGTGCAATATTGTGGCTTCTTGTGATGATAAACGACTAAAACAATTTGGTTTTTGTGTAGATTTTGGATTAGCAAAAGAATATATTGAGCTTGAAACGAATAAGCATATTCCTTATAGAGAACACAAGTCCCTCACCGGTACCGCAAGGTACATGTCCATTAATACACATTTAGGCAAGGAGCAATCACGACGGGACGATCTCGAAGCCCTAGGTCACATGTTCATGTACTTCTTGAGGGGTTCGTTGCCTTGGCAAGGTTTGAAGGCTGACACATTGAAGGAACGCTACCAGAAAATCGGGGATACCAAACGTGCTACACCGATTGACGTTCTATGTGAAGGTCATCCTGAAGAAATGGCCACGTACTTGAGATATGTTAGAAGATTAGACTTTTTCGAGACTCCCGATTACGAGTATCTAAGGAATCTTTTTATCGGACTGTTCAATAAGAAAGGCTACACCGATGACGGCGAATACGATTGGTCAGGAAAGACGATGGTAAGCGGTTTCGATTTGAATAGAATTTAGAAATTATAACATTTTTTTTATCAGCCTCCAAATTTGCATGCTCTGCAGCAAATGAGAAATGCGCCTCCTTCAAATATTGTAAAAACTAAATCGGCAAAGGTATTACTAACACCATAATAATTGTAGAAGCTAGTGTTCAACCCACACAGGGTGGTAGTTATTTCTGACAAAAATAATATACAGGGTGTCCCATAATTAGTGTGCAACACTTTAGCAGTGGATTATGCAATCAAAAATAAGATTATTTTTTCCTATAGACAAGGGTCGAAAAATGCTTCCTAAGGGGGAGCTACGCCCCCCTAAATGGGGCCTCAGGAAATCATATTTTTCAAAATATTTCCAAGACCAGTTCTACGTCCAGGTTGCCCCCGATTCGGGTTTCGTCAAAACTAATCAAATGTACAGATTTTTTTTTTTTATTTCTGAAATTACCTGTACTATAAAGTTCCGGTGAGGTAATTGGAATATATGCCTAGAATTTTTTCAAAATGGCCGAGTAATCTCTAGCCTCAAACTCGATCATACGAAGTTTGACATATTCGATATATAAAAATGAAAAAATTTAGAGGTTAGGCTACAAGGTTCTTAGGTTTGTGTTGCACAGTTGCAAAATTTTGGTTCAAGAATTTTTTTTTCGTAAATTGTATTGGCTTGTTTGCTTTTTTTATTTTTAGCTTAAATTTTAAACATATGAGGTTAGGTTTTAGTCGTTTAAGGTTACATTTTATGGGTTTAAATTTTAGTTATATACAAGAAAACATATATTGCAGAATATCTTGTTGAAGAAAATATATTGTTTCTGTGAATTTTTAACTTAGTTATTTTGGTTTTAGAGATTAGGTTTTTTTAAGGTTTCCTGGTCAACTTCCTATGAATTTGAGTTAAAGTTATGCAAAAATATTGGTTGTACACTCAAAAGTACCATTTTTATGGATTTATACTCGCAGGTTTAGAAAAATTGAGTATGTTCGTTTTAGGTTAAGGTTTATAAATTTGAGGTTATGTTTTGGGTCTAGATTCATGATTTAGGAATATGTTTTATGTTTGATTTTTTTTTTTGTTTGGCAGCCTTTAGTACATAATTTTCCTGTTTTTTTCATTTTTATATACCGACTATGTCAAACTTCGTATGATCGAGTTTGAGATTGAGATTACTGGGCCGTTTTGAAAAAATTTTAGGCATATATTCCAGTTACCTCACCGGAACATTATAGTACAGGTAATTTCGGAAAGAATAAAAAAAAAATCAGTACTATTTGATTAGTTTTGACGCGTGGCTCGAATATTTCCCAGTGCGCGCCAGTGCTCTCCCATTACAAAATCTATACACAAAATGAATGTCTGCTAGCTCGGGATTATTAAAATTTTGCATTTTTTATTTTTTTCTTTAGATTAATGTCAATACAGCACCGTAAAGTGAATGGAAAAAATTTGAGTTTAATTATCATGTCAAATTAATTCAAGTAAACAAACGTTTGTTTGACATGCAAAAAACAGTTTTCATGTAGTTTGTTTGAACATTTATTGAATGTCCAACATACCAAGATTCATAATGATACATTAACTGGTTTTGGAAATATTTTGAAAAATATGATCTCCTGAAGCCATTTTTGGGGGTGGGCGTAGCTCCTTTAGGATTTTTCGACCCTTGTTTATAGGAAAAAATAATCTTATTTTTGTTCATAGAATCTACTGCTAAAGTATTGCACACTAATTATGGGACACCCTGTAGATTGCTTATAAACCTTTGAAAAGTTTGGTTTTTTAATTAAGTAAAAAATTACTGCAGCTGCTAAGTCATAATTACAGATTATCCTGTACGTATTGGGGACGAGTATTCAAACTCATAGCAATTATGTATTATCGCTAGTTACCAAGTGAAATCGTGTTATTGTTTTTTGGAATAACACAGATTTGAACACTATTTAGTTATATCGATGCAAAATTTAAAATTATTTACATACTGGTACTACGTGTTTCTATTTTAAGTACATTAATGTATTTTCCAAGATTTGTATTATGACGGTATATAATATTGCAAATAAAGTAAAAAACATTTTAACTAGTTATTTCCAGAACCGTGATTGAATATTACCTAACGTTCTAATAATAGTGCAACGCAACCAGTATAACACTTTCCGCCTACGTTAAAGCTAAGTGTTGCGTTCTGTTTATCGCAAGACAAATTGCATTTTTATCCAGAATATATTGAAAGCTTGAATGTACTGCTATTAGTTGTTCTGGCTAATTTCTTTGTTCTTTTTTTTTACTATCGATAAAGTTCACATTTTTCCTTTTCCAGAGCACGCCCGTAGGATCCCTGCCAACGACGGCCCACGAGGTGGTAATTTCACCGAATCGTGAGAGACATGCTTTAGCTAAGGTAAAGCTATTTACATTTGTTTGTTTTTACCGAAGTAAATTTAATAACACTTTTTATTAAATTTAAATTAACGGACAGGACGTGTGGTCTGAAGAAGAAGCTTTGCTTTTGATATCTCACTTACAAGAGGTATTTTTAAGTTCGTAGGAGTATACATTTTGAGTATAGGTGGCTTGTCGAGGTCTACTAATTATATAGGTTTAAGTGCTAAATTGCTTAGTTGCCGATAAAGACGTGATGCTTGGGTTTAGGACGTAATTGACGTTGATAGAAAGATTAATCAATATTCTAATTTTTTTTTAATTGCAGTGAAGATTAGAACTAATGCTTAGTTTTTACTTTCTTTGGTATTATTAATTTTGTTTGTGGGCAAAATTCACCATTGCTTGGGTGAATGGTTGAGTTGGTAGCAAATATTTGGAATTAATCGATTTTTACATTGTCTTTGTCGAGGATTATTAGGACATACGCTTAAATAAAGCCAGGGTTGATCCTAACGAGGGCAAATTATGCATTATGTAAAAGGGGTGGCAAATCAATAATGGTGTAACTTTTTGAATTTTTTTTTTTTTAATTTTTTGCTAAACTGCGTCTTAAAGAATAACAGACCAGCAGTTTTTAACGGGGTCTAAATGGAGGGTGTAACTTTGAATATGAGTCATACTTATATTAAGGCCTTTTAAGAAAAACAGTAGAAAGAAAAATCATTACATCATAAATAATTACAAGTCAAGTGACCAGTGATCTTAGGCAACCAACATTGCACTGTTGATACTGTCAAAAACTCCCGAGATCTTCGCGCCAGCAATATTACTAATTCGTTTACAATGAACAATAACAAACCACTACGTGTACGCTTGAGAAAATGCGGTTGTTTATTGGTTGAACAGAATCTCGTGAAAAATTACAGGAATCACAACCGGTGAAACGGAATGTTACGTTTTAATTAGAGACGGGCCACTGGTAAGTTTCCAAAATGGGAACTTTCCGGGAAGGGAAGAATCGTGTGCAGGGCACATTTCCTTATTTTGAATTTCCCGCCAAATTATAACTACATGACATCATGAGGTTATCCATTAAAGATTTAATTTTACCAAAATTTAAAATTACTGGTCAAGTGACTTGTAATCATTATTGAAGGCTCTGTACACGTATACTACTCGAAACACTTCAGTAAATACCTGTATAAAATTAAACTTGATAAAACAGGACACTGTATTTCAGTTCCGGTACCTCTGAGCTCAGGCAACCAACATTGCATTGCTGATACTGTCGAAAAAGTCCCGAGATCTAAGCGCCAGCAATATTACCGATTCATTTACAATGGACAATGACAAACCACTACGTCTACCATGGAGTTTATAAAGAAGTGTAGACTCCGAGTTGAAAAAAGTGAGCTATTTCTTGGGTCGCGTAGAGCAGGCCCCGATGTATGTAAAAGTTGCGCGAGAAATTTAAAATAACAATGTTTATATAAACATGACTATTTTTTTTACCTATTTCTTAATAAATATTAAATAAGTCCTTCCGTTTATCTATTACGTGTGACATAAGCTCAAAGTTCATTATTTGACTCTCCAGTCCATCGGCGCTTCAGCTGCGACTCCTTAAACTTTACTTTGGGTCGTAAAACGGGATCCGAATTTGTATAAGCCATAAGAGTCTTCATTCCTTGTATAAACTCCGTAACATCTACGCTCGAGCTAATGCGATCGCTGATTGGTTTACTATAATTTTATGTAAAATTACGCCAATCACCAGTCGGTGAAACAATGCTGTGTTTTAATGTAATGTTGGATCTTCCCGTTTTAATTTTATTGAAATTTAATTGTCAACGGTTCCAAACAAAATTACTGGTCACGTGGCATGTGATCATTATTGAAGACTGTACGCCTATGCTATGCATTAAACACCTATTTAAAGTATAGTATAAAATTAAATCCGATAAAACAAAACACTGTATTTCAGTGCTGGTAAAAATGTTGGCGCTGAGCTTAGGCAACCAACATTGCACATTACAGTTTCTTTATCTGCCACCGCGTTTAAGATAAGTCGGGGCTGAAGTGCAGTTTAGACAACCATTTATAGCTCACTTATTTATTTAATTGAGAAAAAATAAGTTTTAGGTTACCCTTACAAAAAATTGAGTCCTAGTTTAAGTTAACACCCTTTCTGTATTTTTTTGTCTTGATAGATTTTTCACTAGAAATAACCTGAAAAAAAAAACTAATCTATTTCTGCCCCATAAATTCACTTCTAAACTAAGTTAAGGGGTTGTGTCACTTTGGAGCCCGAAAAAAAGGGTTTTTTCAAAATTTTTTTTGATAATTCTTTTATAATTATGAACACCAATCGATTAAGCAACTCTTCAGGAGTAAGAAAATAATTTTTTATTGAAAATTCATTGGAAAATGGTGGCTGTAGGAGCGCATGAACAAAACTAAATTTTTCAAAGGTCCTCCGCGGCGCGCAGTAAAAGTCCTCTGGATCACTATCGGAAAGCGTAAAGAAATGTTATTCATAAACTACAGCTTAGCTAGTGACGTACACACAGTCATAATTTTAGGAATTTTTATTCTCGATCTGGCGAGACCTTGAACAAAAATTCGAATTTTCGACAAAAAAATCGATTGATTATAAAAAAAAAAAATTGAAGTATTTTCTCGTTGATCGGTAAGTTATAAGCGTTTTTACGTGCACGAAATTCAAAAATGCTGTATCGACGATTGAAATCTATTTTTACGCTTTCGAATTGCTTCGGAAAAATTTATTTTACTGTCTTTTTCGTGCAAAAAAGTTTTTGATTATGAATCGGAATGTTTTAGCGTATTTTAAGCTAATAAAAAAAAAAATTTCAATGTGATATAATCCCTTAACTAGAGTCTGAGATACGGTTCGATCGTAATGAGAGCGAACGTTTGCATTCAGGATCTTCCCTGAGCAAGACTATGTATAAAATGCCGTTTGGATTTAATAGATTATTTTATTATTATGGAAATATTCAGGAGTCGCAATAGATTAAGCAACTAGCGAGTCGAGTAATTGGCTTTTTTTTATAGACAAACAAAACAAACGCGTGGCCTGAAGCGTCAAAGCAAAGTACTTTGGGCAACTTAACTCCCGCTGACCGTCACGGTTCTGTGCAGGTGGTGAGCTCAACCAACGGCGAGCTTAACGCTGACGACCCTACTGCCGGACACAGCAACACGCCCATTACCCAACCTCAGGAACTTGAACTCGTCGATGAGACTAAGTACGTACTCGTATGTCTGTGTTGCCCTTTCGCTTACGATATATTAAAAATTTCAATATTCACTTAAAAAAAGCTCGTAAATGTTTTTAATTGAAAAATGCAATTTGTTGAGAGCATTTGTTTCCGCAGGTGCTGCTGCTTCTTCAAAAGAAAGAAGAAGAAAGGTGTTCGTACCAAATGACTACAATACAGTGAGACAGACCAACACCTCACGCTGTTGCCGTGCGGCCACAGTAGTGCAGCGACTTTAAATTGACTTTAGTTGTGAGAAGACCAATGTCAACCTGTTACTTGAACTATTTAAATAGCTAATTTATAGGTTAGCCTTAATTAAACTTAAGATACAAGTAAGTCGTACCATATCTGTGAATGTTTACAGAAGCCTTACTCGTCGGTTCTGTACTTTCCTTATTATTTTTTTTTTTTGTTAACGTACGTATCATTTTATCACTCATTATTTATTATAATTACCAAATACAATGTTTTATATAATTATAATATTTTTGACTTTAGTTTAGTGTGTGTTCTAGTAAACATGTTTTAACAATTATTTATAATTTTACTCATAAATGAAAATCCGCTGTTGATTTTTTGCGAGTAAGGCCGAGTTTTAAGTATGTTTGATAACGGTAAAAGTGAATTCATACTGAACAATGTAAATTTATTATCGAACTGTATATAAACAATTTTCACAGAGTTGACCAATTTGTAACGAGTCATTTTTTCAATTCGTTCATTTTTTAAACATTTTAAAGTCGATCAGTATTATAATGTAGTTTTACTACATTTAGTTTATATGTTTTTTTTTAGTATCCAGTCTCTTAAAATATATAGTGTATATTATATATACTTGTGTACGGAGGGGAAGTGAAATGTTGGAAATGTGGAATGGGAACCAATTTTTCTGAAAATTAAAGCCATGTCGAGTCGCGTAGTAGAAAATGCATCCTACTGTCGTACTTGTATATAAAAAAAAATCATCTCTGACTGGATGTTGACTACTTGTCTATTTAACTTTTCCAATTTTTTTCTAATACCCTGTATATTATACAGTGTTCCAAAATGAGATAGAAAAAAGTTAGGTCTGCAAATTTGTATAAACATACAATATACCATTTTTTGAGATAAGCTGCCCAAAGTCACTGACGCAATATCCAAGTAAGATATTTTATGATTAATATTTATGGAAAATACAAACTGGTCGCCTAAAAAGATTCGACATTCGTTGAAAATTATTTTATTTCCAAAATATCTGATCTTAAGAAATGGTTTGGTTTGAGGGCTATATTTTTTATACCTTGTTCTGAAATATGGCGTATGTTCCACGTTTCTGAAAGTGACTGCAGCTAAGAGGTCTACTCTGTCCATATTTGTATTATTTATTGGCTCCAGGCATCAAAGATAAGAAAAAATCGTAGCTCTAAAAGCTTTCTTTTGTATATATATATATCATACTAAATATATTCATCATATTGAATAGCAAGGGGTGAATTTTTGTTTTTCAGCTCATTAGTTTGTTGCCCTTTTTCTGTTCAGTATGATATACTGGAAGAACCGTTGTGATTAAGCATTATTGTAAAAATTTGCTTTATTGTTGATCTCAAGTAAAATTTGATCGACTGCTTTTTCTCTCCTTTGACCTGTGTGTGCAGATTCCAAGTCTTAGTGCAATATAAAACTTGCGATTCTGCGATATGCCAACATATATTTTCTTTTGTGGCTATTATTAAATATAGAATGTTAGAACACACTGTATTCTTATTTCTATGCCCTTTGTGCAACTCGGATATAGAAAACTCGGCAAACTCCAAACTTCAACTTAGTTCTTGTATGTTGTTATGTATATAATAAGCATTTGAAAATTATTCCCGCAATATAATAATCTTCCATAGATTGTTTTTTTATTCTTTCTACATTTTGCAGTTTCAAATTTATTGTAAATGTATAAATTGTTGAATCCAAATTACTAAATAAAAGTGCTGTATCTTTGTTTTATGTATTTTTTACCCCTTAACGTTGTCGGTAAAATACCAGCCACAATAAATTAACTTTAAAAAATTCAGATAGACACTAACAGCCCTGACGAATCCAAAACTGCCATCAGTTCCTCTCTAGCTCCGCCAGTTTTCCAGATAATTTATATTTTTGCTTCTGGTTTCAAAGCATTTGGTAGGTAGGCAACATACAATACATTCGTGTGTATACTTGGCTGCATAAACCTTTAGAAACGCATTTTTTTTTGCGATAATTTTCATGAATATTCTCAAAAATTTAGAATGCCGTCTAAATTTGGCAACCCGTAAGTAGTTTGTAGTTTGCTCCGCAGAAAATGCCGATGTAGTCTGCTATTTTAGTAAGTTGCTTTCCTGAAAAAAAAATTGAATATCTCGAAAATTACGCGAGCTAGAGAGAAATTCGTTTTAGTTTTGTATTTGCCAGAACCGTTATGGTCTGGAGGAATTATTTCAGAATTTTCCTCGAACCCAAAATGTTTCGGACAAACAAATCGATGGACTGTCCATCGATTTTCTCAAAAATTTTTAGGCTTCTGAAAATTCTGAAAAAATTCAGGTAGACACTAACGGCCCTGACGAATCCAAAACTGCCGTCAGTTCCTCTCTAGATCCGCCAGTTTTCCAGATTTTTAATATTTTTCCTTCCAGTTCAAAAATTTGAGGTAGGTAGGCAACCTACAATACATACCTGTATACTTGCTGCATAATAATTCCTAAAATCGCCTTTAGCCACGCATTTTAATTTTTTCACGATAATTTTCGTGAAAATTCTCTAAAAATTAGAATGCCGTCTAAAGACGGCACCTCGTATCAAGTTTGGGCCGCAGAAAACGCCGATGTAGTCTGCTATTTTAGTAAGTTGCTTTCCTGAATAAAAAAATTGAATATCTCGAAAATTACGCGAGCTAGAGAGAAATTCGTTTTAGTTTTGTATTTGCCAGAACCGTTATGGTCTGGAGGAATTATTTCAGAATTTTCCTTGAACCCAAAATGTTTCGGACAAAAAAATCGATGGTCCATCGATTTTCTCAAAAATTTTTAGGCTTCTGAAAATTCTGAAAAAAATTCAGGTAGACACTAACGGCCCTGATGAATCCAAAACTGCCATCAGTTCCTCTCTAGCTCTGCCAGTTTTCCAGATTTTTTATATTTTTCCCTTTGGTTCCAAAGCATTTGGTAGGTAGGCAACACACAATACATTCGTGTGTATACTTGGCTGCATAAACCTTTTGAAACGCATTTTTTTTACGATACTTTTCATGAATATTCTCAAAAATTTAGAATGCCGTCTAAATATGGCAACCCGTATGTAGTTTGTAGTTTGCTCCGCAGAAAATGCCGATGTAGTCCGCTATTTTTGTAAGTTGCTTTCCTGAAGAAAAAAATTGAATATCTCAAAAATTACGCGAGCTAGAGAGAAATTCGTTTTAGTTTTGTATTTGCCAGGACCGTTATGGTCTGGAGGAATTATTTCAGAATTTTCCTCGAACCCAAAATGTTTCGGACAAACAAATCGATGGACTGTCCATCGATTTTCTCAAAAATTTTTAGGCTTCTGAAAATTCTGAAAAAATTCAGGTAGACACTAACGGCCCTGATGAATCCAAAACTGCCATCAGTTCCTCTCTAGCTCTGCCAGTTTTCCAGATTTTTTATATTTTTCCCTCTGGTTTCAAAGCATTTGGTAGGTAGGCAACATACAATACATTCGTGTGTATACTTGGCTGCATAAACCTTTAGAAACGCATTTTTTTTTGCGATAATTTTCATGAATATTCTCAAAAATTTAGAATGCCGTCTAAATTTGGCAACCCGTAAGTAGTTTGTAGTTTGCTCCGCAGAAAATGCCGATGTAGTCTGCTATTTTAGTAAGTTGCTTTCCTGAAAAAAAAATTGAATATCTCGAAAATTACGCGAGCTAGAGAGAAATTCGTTTTAGTTTTGTATTTGCCAGAACCGTTATGGTCTGGAGGAATTATTTCAGAATTTTCCTCGAACCCAAAATGTTTCGGACAAACAAATCGATGGACTGTCCATCGATTTTCTCAAAAATTTTTAGGCTTCTGAAAATTCTGAAAAAATTCAGGTAGACACTAACGGCCCTGACGAATCCAAAACTGCCGTCAGTTCCTCTCTAGATCCGCCGCCAGTTTTCCAGATTTTTTATATTTTTCCTTCCAGTACCAAAGCCTTTGGTGGGTAGGCAACACACAATACACACTTGTATACTTGGCTGCATAGTAATTCCTAAAACCGCCTTTAAATACGGATTTTAATTTTTTGACGATAATTTTCATGAAAATTCTCTAAAAATTAAAAGACCGTCCAAAGACGGCACCCCATATGTAGTTAGTTAGTGCCGCAGAATACGCCGATGTAGTACCCTATTTTTGTAAGTTGCCTTCCTGAAGAAAAAAATTGAAACTCGAAAATTATGCGAGCTAGAGAGAAATTCGTTTTAGTTTTAAATTTGCCAGTACCGTCATAGTCTGGACGAATTTTTTCAGATTTTTCTGGGCCCCTAAAATTTTTTGGCAGAAAAACAACTGTTTTTTGCAATATGCAGTTCAATTACTGGGACACGAGGCGTCGTCATCTATGCACTGAAAGCTCAATTAGTTCAACAGTTTAATATGAAACTGTTACAGATGGCTAACTATTAAAGAATTCTATAGCATTTTAGTCTGGTTTCAGACCAGTAGATGGAGAAAAAGTAATTGAAATATATCAGCACCAAAATTTAAAAAAATTTATAGTGCTTTTCTAAAGGCGGTACTGTACACATATATATATATCAGAAACTGTTGCAATGTTGGAAAATAAGAATGGGGGCTGAGATAGATTTAATACAATATTAAAAGAAAGAAAAGTTTATTTAAAAGTTCAGAAACAGTCTGTAAATAAATAAGTGTGGCATCAGTTTGTGTTGATTATTGTTTCTGGGAAAGTAGTCTATGACAGAGTTTTCATATACCAGTTTATATTGTGGTTGATGGGAGCAATGCAAAAATATACTCCTAGCCCCAGACGATTTAATATTTAACGCCTAGGTACTAGGAATATTCATCTTCGAATATTGCTCTCCTTTTATGATTTTTGAAGTCCTTCTGAAAAAAGAAAACAGTTGTTTTACACGTGGCAGTTAAAATAAAATATGATATGATGAATAAATTAATATTTGAAGAAATATATTTAAAAGCAGTAAAATCAGCGAACGATTTCAAAAACAACTACTCTGCGGACTAAAACCACGCTCAGCACTAAATTCCACTCGCAATCAGAGTAGTTGTTATGTAACTGTTTTCATAATACTAAAACTATAGTACAACTTATTATACATAAAAATTATGTTAATTTTATGTTTAATTCCAAAGATTCTTGTAAACGGTTAAGTAATCAAAACAGCTATCGATTACTGTATTTTTTACGGTGTTATCGATGTTAAAAATCGAGTATCGGAAGTTAAACCATCGATACTGTTGCCCAAAACTGGACAGACTGTTTCAAACATACAAAATACAATTGTGATATGTTTTTCTGTAAAATTTGTGCTTACTGCCCTGTATCTATGTTAATTAATATAATTTATGCTTATAGACGTACCCTTGGAAAAACACACTATTTATTAAAAACGCAAATATACTGAAAACTCAAAACAAGTTTGAATTCATGCGTAAAAATTCTAATCGCTGGATCAGTCGCAACAATCTGACGCTGACTTATAAGCGAATAAATTATATATGAAATGAAAATATAAAACAATCGCTTAATCTCTATAACGGCGCGGATCATGAAGGATCGAAATAAAAGCATTTTAAATTGAACCGACTCAGTGTATTGTTCGATTCGATTGATATTTATTTTTTGGAATTTTGCTGAAAATTAAGCTATTTATAATTTCCAAGCGATTTCATTTCATGGTTCGATACGCAATTCTATGGCGTTTAAAAGTATTACTGACATATCGATTCCTGTGACGAAATATAAGGTATATTTCACTAAACTTTCGAATGGGATGATGACTATAGAATAAAAGAATACAAATATATATTATTCGGAAAACTGTATTTTATGAAATTGAATCAGCATTGCCGTACTGATTAAGAAATTGAAATAAATTTTGAATGGCATCGGGGGTGAGATGGTGGTTCACCACGAGAAGGGTGAATGAGGATGAAGGAAGCCTAGTCTGTCCCTCCGTGTGTGTGTGTGTGTGTGCTCTGCGGTTTCGGCCGATGACATTTAGGGTTGGGGGGACTTTTATCCGGCGGTCACAACTAATTCAACGAAATTCGATCATATTTTTAATTGAATTTCACAGCGAAGACACCTGTTTAACGCAACCGATTTACATGGAACACAGCATCAGCTAGCAGGCGCTTATCGTTTGTACAATTATAAGATTAGAATACTGCGACATTTAAAACATACTAGTAAGGAGCATCGGCTCCTTGCACCTGCGAGGATAGCGAATATAAAGCAAATCACGTTGCGTAACACAAGTTTAATTTTCTTCACAAAACGAGAGATAATATAAACACCACACCCTGTATATCTACTTTACCGATATGACGATCTTTTTTCACAAACGCTTTATATTTAATTTAAGTTAACATTATTATGTTGCTTGATCTAACGCAGATTTTGGTTGACGCAAATTTGAACTAAGTATTTTAAAATTAAGATATCTGATAAGGAAAACAAATCAAGGAGCACACTAATGAACGGCTCTGTGAATGAGAGGCGGGAGCGGGCGGATGTGATACGTGTTGTTTGATTTTGCGGTATATTAGGCGGCAAAACAGAAGAGAGCTTTTATTCGAGCCAGTACGTCATATAATATTAAGATCAAACGAGCTTTATGCTTTTATACTGAAAGCAGCGCGCTTTTGAAGCGACTTGCATTCAGGCACATGGATGGCGAAACGCGACCATTCAAAAACATTTTTAACCATAGCATCGGGTCTCATTAACCGTAGTTTAGAGTTTCTGCCGTAAACATGATACATATACCTTAACTCGAGAGCCCTGGGCCCTCGTCAGGATGTTAGGGAACATCACGTTATTCATTTATGTGATTAATTTTCTAATAAATTCTACCAGCTTACAATTAAATTTTTATTTATAACACTCACTGTACGAAAATGTTAAATTGTTTTGGGGTATTTTATACGAATGTTGTTCATTCGTAACCAACAGAGTTTTCTATCTTAACGAGATAACTTAATACTTACACGAAACTCATTGAAAAAGCATCAAAACCAAAGAAAAATCATCTAACCTGTGCTATATCTAAGGCGTCGTAAAATCATCCGAGTCAATTTAATTCACGAAAAAATTTCAAACTCGACGAAACACGTCCCAAAATCATCTGAACCAACGAAAAATCATCTAACCTATTCTAAAATTATCTATCTTATTGTAAAATCCCCTAATATATTGCAAACTCATCTAATCCAACGTAAAGTCTTCTAACATATCTTAAGACCCTCTATCTTATCGTAAAATTATCTAAACTATATTAAAAAAATAGTCAGTCCTATTACAAAATTTTTTAACATATCGTAAAATCTTCTAACCTATCGTAAAGTTTTCTAAGATATCGTAAAATAATCTATATTATCTTAAAATTATTTAAACTACAGCAATATCATTTAATATAACGTAAAAATCATCAGTCCAATAGGACAATAGTAACGTCATGCAACCTATCATAAAAGCTTCTAATAAATCATTAAAAATCGTCAGTTCCAGCGTAAAATCATCTAACCTATCATGAAAAATCAGCAATTCTATCGTGAAGTTTTCTAACATATCGTAAAATCGTCTAATCTATATCAAAAAAAATTCAGCCTTATTGTAATATTTTTTAACCTATCGTAAAGTCTAACAAATCATAAAATCGTCTATGTTACCGCAAAATTATCAAAACTACTGTAAAATCATTTAATATATCGTAAAAAATCATCAGTCCTACTTTTAAAATGATCGATATGATGATATTGTAAAATCGTAAAACATCAGTCCTATCGTAAAAACACAACTTATAGAACAGTCTTTTAAAATCGCAAATTCATTTATTTTCTCGTAAAATTATCTGAACTATTGCAAAATCATTTAATATGTTGTAAAAAATCATCAGTCTTATTTTAAACATCAGTCCTATTGCAAAATCTAAGAAATCTTAAAAAATCATCAGTCCTAATGTAAAAGTTTTTAACCTACGTAAAATGATCTACCATATCGTAAAGTCTTCTAACATGTCGTAAAATTATCTAAACAATAGTAAAATCATTTAATATATCGTAAAAAATCGTAAGTCCTGTAATAAAATCATCATATCGTAAAATCTTCTACGAAATCGTAAAAAATCATCAGTTCTATAGTAAAATCTTCCGACATATCGTAAAATTGTCTATCCTATCGTAAATTTATCTAAACTACTGCAAAATCATTTAATAGATCGTAAAAAATCAGCAGTCCTATATTAATCATCAGTCCTATTGTAAAATCTGCTAAGAAATCGTAAAAAATCATCAGTCCTATCGTAAAATCACATAACCTGTCGTACAGTCTTCTAAAATTATCTAAACTATAGTAAAAAATCATCAGTCCTAAAGTCTTCTAACATGTCGTAAAATTATCTAAACTATAGTAAAATCATTTAATATATCGTAAAAAAATATAAGTCCTATAATAAAATCATCATATCGTAAAATCTTCTACAAAATCGTAAAAAATCATCAGTTCTATAGTAAAATCATGTAACCTGGGTAAAGTCTTCTGATATATCGTAAAATCGTATATCTTATCGTAAGCTATTGAAAAATCATTTAATATATCGTAAAAAATCATCAATTCTATATAACATCAAAAAATATCAATAAATTATTACAAAATTAAAATCTTTTATTTTTTCAGAAAATCCTCTACTTTATCTTAATATTATTCGGAAGAGGTTAGGTTAGATGATTTAACGATGATTTAAATGATTTTACAATATATTAGATGTTTTTCGACTTGACTGAGGGAAAAATAGATAAGAAGTGAATAGAAAAGACCTCCGCAAACTTTGACAGCGCCGTTATCACCCTGTACGTCCCTTCGGGAAGTCACCCGGTACAAGAATAATATGCAAAATGGACACAACGTTTAATGTGGAGAGGACACCGAGGACAGAGTGTGCAGTGCATATTCTAATTACTTGAGGGTGTAATTGATTTGGGTTTCTATCTCGCGGGAGTACGATGGATCGGTCTCCGGAGACCAAATGGCATCGTTTAGAAACACCGTCATATTTATTTAGTTCACTTTGCATGATGGGACGCCGCGGCAGCCACTTGGTTTCAGCAATTATACGGAAACAGACGTCGCAAAAGCAAAAGCGTAATCAGGCCCTCCGAACGAACGACGCCGTCTAACAAATTTCACGCACAATTACTATTCATAACGTTACGAAAAATTTATGTAAGATTGCGGCTACTTCCGTCAGAAATAAATTAATCGAATATGAGGGGAAACGGTCTTGCGTTACGCTTTGTTTTCAGTTATTCGATCGTAATTCACGTCGGGTTCATTTGATATAGATTTTCATACATTTACAATATTTTTAAGATAGCGATTAACGTACATAAAAATGTGTACCTAGTAGAGGGATTGTTAAGTCAGGGTTCTATTCTATCGGATATGTAGATTTTTCTTTATCGGCGCCTCCAAACAAATGGCTCGTATGAAACCGGGGTTATCGGATCGCTGCAATGTTTTAGGCTTAAGTCACACTTAGAATTCAGAGGTTGGTAATGGGTTCGGCCTTAAATCCTGCGTTAGGTAACCCGATAAAGGCGCAACGTTCCCTAGCCAACTTATAGCGGAAATGACATCAATATTTTCACTAGAGCGATTCGTAGAAATAAGTGTGGTAAACTTAAAACGATAAAATTTCGTAGTTTGATGATAGTTAACGCGATACAGATCAGGAATTTATTGTGACGTCATCGCAAACTCATCGTAAATAAAGTTTATGTACACGTGTACGTAATTATAAAAAGTGTAAAAGACCCTTTTAGAGATTTTTTTTTTGATTTCTTAATCTCGACATTCAGTCAAT